GTACTTCACTGTACTCGTAAGTGTTTTTGTGTGTTACAGCAATCCTGTATTTACATACACACATACATACACACCTACATACAAGTATGTATGTACTTAGTATGCTTTCTCGTGTGGCTCTTATGCACTTAACTATCCACACAGACGAGTCATACATGCAGACATATGTACATACTTGTATGTATAAAGCAGGCTTCGCTCCGATTGGTGTGCATACAAGCAAGACACTGACATATGGTAAGTAGATGCAGGTACAGTCGCCGCAAAACATGCAACACACTGGCATGTATAGTATACAGACATACATATGTACACGCGCACGTATAAACTGTAAAGTGGACTTGAATCCATGCGACCAACCCGATCCCCACTGCCCAGTAATTCTTTGAATAGCTCCTTCTGTACTATATTTTCAATTAAATCCAAGCTGTCCAAAAAAAGATTATCTTCTCTATTTAGCTTCCTCATTGACTCTCCCAATAGTGTTATGATCTGTTGCCAAGGCCCATCTTGCCCATCCACACGGGAACCTGCTCGGTTCGACGGAATGCGATCTATACATAGTGCTTGACGTTTCGCGAGGAATATAAATATTTATAGTATATTTATTTATAATACTTGTATACCGTTTGCGAAGAATATTTGTGGAGTAAGCTCGTGTCAATATGGAAATAGAATACAAGTAGAAAAGAATTGTTGCCTCCAAAATGAGCCATCATTGTGGAAGAATGAAACTGAAGATTACAAAAATAAGCTCAATTTACCTTTTGTTGGTTTAATTCTGCGTGTTGCAGGCATGGTTCAAATCCCCAATTGCCCCATGAGTCCGATGGCGCTCTATTAAAAATGAACTTAGGTCTAGCCAAGTCGGAATATCGGCGTTGTCCTTTAAGGAATGCTTCGTCGGACAATTCCAATTGGTGGTGTCGATTTTGGATCGTGGTTTGGAGTTCCTTTAGAGCAGTCGCTGACTCTTGAGCTATAGGCTAACACAGTTGTGGCTCTGATGGCAATACAAATACTCATAACCCTCGCTTAACACGGGGGTTACGTTCCTCGAAAGCGTCGTGTTAGGCGAAATTGTGTTAAGCGAGACGAAAGTGAATTAAAGTAATACGCTTCTCTTTTAAACTTCTAACGACTTCTAGCGTGTAAGAACGAGGTTACAGCGTGTTAAAAGGGAAAAGATAGCAAATTTTAAACGTGTTAGACCGAGTTCGTGTTAAAGGAGGTCATGTTAAGCGAGGGCCATTCGCAATGATGTTCGCGAACAATGTTCGTATTGTCAGTGTCGAACAAATTCGACAAACAAATTCGCGTGTGTGTATATGCCCCATTTAGTAGTTTAACAGGCTTCTGCAATAATTTCGACTTGTCGATTATGCAGAGAACGCCTTTTTATAAAAAGGAACCATAGTATTGGTTGGCTCTTATGCAGTGCAATGCTTCAAGACCTTCAATAGGAAAACCAAGATTATGCTCGTTTTCTTCAAATATCCCTCTTTTCCTATTTCACCTTTGACAAGTTGCTAAGGACCCATAAAACTGTTCTCGCATGGGAACTAGAACAGAGCGCAGAGCTCTACTTATAGATGCTAATATCTATTTTCTTCTCTGCTCTTTGAACGTCAGTTAAACATTTACAGAATGCAGAAAACTTCGAATGCACGATTTTTCTAAATCCTTTTGTAATTACAGAGAGTAGAGTGTCCAAATTCTCGTTCCACTCATTTTCAATGCCAGACTAAATCAGTTTGAGCAGAAGGTGATGGAAGCCCCCTTGACCCTCTTCCCTGATCCTGGGCTGCACTATGGATCGTTAGAAGGTTAAAAGCATCTAGCAAATATCTAGCTCGCGCTGGCGAACTAAAACAAATTCTTAGCTATAAATGACACTTCATTTCTTGAGAATACCTTCTTGGATCCACAAAAGGATGACAGAGACAAAAATATCGAAATAACAGCCGTGCATCCGTTTCCGCATAAATTACACAGTTCTGCGAATTTAGTGCAAGATTTCAATACCCATTCCTATGCTTAGCAGAAATGAAAGTAATTCTAAAACGATCTGAGCGCATCGCGTCAAGTATAAAGTCAAGAAAGCTACAAAATACTAAAACTTGTTTTCTAAAATTCTTTAAAATACAAAGTGTTGTCTCTTTACAATCACAAAAAAGGATTTTCTTAAAAATTGTCTCTGTCTTTAGACCCATTGTATTAAGAGCGTGTGAAATTCTTCAGGGGTTTCTTCGTTTTTTTCAAACCAAAATCAAGTGGTTATCGCACTCGAGATCAGCACATTAATATTGAGAATTTACGATGCCCCTCAGTGACGATCAAATTTGTGAAATTTAATTAAAATTTGAGCTAAAGTGCAGTTCAAATATTTTCATTTCTGTCAATCTTTTGAAGGGACTTATCTACAGCACTTTCGAAGAGATGCACAGAACGCCCTGCAATTGGCAGATTAATTTAATATGGCCATTGAGAAACCGGGCTTAAATAGGTTTGGTTTACTTCTCCTATTCCTATTCAGAAACTTTACTTATGAGCCTTGTGCTTATTAAAAGTCCTCCTAAATGTGCTCCTGCACGTGACCGACCGTGTCGAGGGTTGGATAGAAAAAGTGCCCCTAAACTATAAAGACAACATTTGAAATACTGGACAGAGGGAAGTTCGGAGATTATAAGCATATGTACTAATGTATGTATGTATGTTTATAGATTGTACGCCAGCTTATGCTAAATGGCTGAGAGCGTAAACACCCCGATTTGCGATCCTTTTTCCACAAAGAATTGCTCAAATAACAGTGTGCCCGTTGTACTTGTATGAGGGGAAAAGCGACGATCGATGCGATGAATTTTAAGTTACCACAATTGCTTGCCTATTTGTTTAAGACAACTGTGTACATACTCGTATGTATGTACTACAAGTATATGTACATACTTATTATGTATGTATGACTTACTGTGAATAGCGAAGAGAGCGGGCGGCGAAAAATGATCGGCTTAGATTAAGTGTTGGGCATAGACATAGACTAGTGGTAAGAGAAACTTATAACGCAACCGAATAAAATTTCAAATTAAATTAAAGAATTAAACAAAAAGTGCAAAAGTAATCAATAAATAATTAAAAGGAAGGAAGGACAAGAAACTTGTTAAACTATATAGCATTTAAGAGAAGGACAAGCAAAACAATATGGTGCATAAACACTTCGAAAACGTGACAAACACACAAAAACAAGCAAAGAAACAAACAAACAAACAAACAAACAAACACACACACACTTGCAAGTTTAGATAAAAACGATGAATTAAACCAAAAAATAAGAAGAAGAAACTAAATTACAAACAATACTAGAATATTTGAATACACGAGCATATACCTACATAACATATACATACAAGTATATCCTTAAGAGCGCATGTTTAACAGAAAGTAATGAATAATACTCGTACATATTTCAATGAAATAGCCAAAAGGTAGCGACATTTGAAGACAATTTACAATAGAATAAAATTTAAGTGCTAGCTACGTTGAATATACCAATTTAATAACCATATTGTAGTCATACATAGTTGGGTTATCTATCTACGAGTGTCAGAAAAAATGGTCTGCCTCACTGCATCGGGAGCAACTCGAAGTAGTGCTAAGCAGACAACTTCGAGGCATCTACAACCAACCAAATCAAGAGCAAGAAATGTAGTTTCAATTCATTAGCATTCGACATACATTTAAAAAAAAATACTTTTATTATCATTTTATCGAATTGACAACTAAAAAGCTATTCAAAAAATTATTCCATCGAGTTATAGAACCCGAAATACCAATGAAATAAATTCTTCAATGCATACATAGTACATATGTTCTTAAGCAGTGGCTCCTCGCGACAATAATGGCAGGACTAAGCCAACCAGGACAACCAATTTGCACGCACAGTGAAGCCAGCAATGAAATGGTTTTCGAAGGCATTTGGTTTCTTAGCTTTCTCCCAATTCGGTTGTGTATCTGGCAAGGGATTGATTATCTGTTTCCTAATGTGATAATGACCAATTAATAGGCTTTGATGAACATTCATTGGTAAAGAGTTATAGCTAACTCCAACATTTACATACATACATATGTTTATTTAAATTTAATTCTCAGCCGCAATATCAATTATTAAGATCAGTGTTCCTCATTTTCTATTATTTTACTTGAGACGGAAGATGTCCCAACTGGGTGGAAGATATCGCCAGCTCCTAAAAGTATGCAATCATTTTTTCCTCCAAATAATTTCCCATGGAAATTTAGTACAGAAAAAGGAGTGGGACGCCATCATCTAGGATCTTGTAATGATAAACATTTTTGTTATTAATTAATTCAAAATATAATATCTGCAAACATAGTTATATCTACGAATGCTCACTAGTTCTGGACAATAAAATGACTGTACAGGTTTATGTATCAAAAATCTGATATTTTTACGAACAAGCCCATTTATAGCCGCACTACAATTATTTAACATGTCTACAACTGCATTGCTTCGAAAATGTTTTGGCATTATACAAATAGTCATTAAAAGGAATAAGCACATGGTTGTACTATAACAAATTATACCAAGTATTTATATAAAAAGACAATGGTTCTATAATTTTACAAAACAGGAACAAAATCAAAACAACATAAAGCCACAGACAGCTCGTAACGCAAGAAGCCAAAACGAAACAAAACCACAGTATATAGAAGACAAAATGCAAGCCAATATATATTTAAAAATATATATAAAGCAAATTTAAACAAACAAAACACAATAAATTGAAAGTTTAAAAAATCGAAAAGCTACTCGAAGCCAAAAATGTTAACTTAGTATATAAAAAAATCAAACAAGTAAGAAAAAATATGCAATTGATGAAATGTTTTAAACAAAAAAATGAAATTAACGAAAAAATAAAAATGAATTCAATAGAAAATACCGTGTTTTTACTTTTGAAACAAAACAAAAATATCACGCTGAGTAGTACTTGGACAAAGGCTTTTATTTCACTTTGTTGGCAACTAATTAGAAATAACAGGATTGTGACGCTTGGAAAAAGGCAGCCTAACTTAAGGGTAGTATGTCTTCTTGAAACGGCCCTCACGATTCTTTTTGCCGCCCGGTCGCACTTGGCGCGACACATACTCCTTGTCGTGCTGGTCTAGTGTGCGACGCCAGGGATTTATGTCCAGCTCAAAGAAACGACGTTTCGCCTCCATGGCACGTGTTTTGTTGTCGATTTTGTAAAGCTTCTCCCACATGTAGATCTCTGGCAGTTCCAAGTGACGCGGTCGCTTTGAAGCCAAATACTTGAATGTTTTTTCAAGAAATTCGCGCTTCTCTGGATCATCATAGTCGGCAACACGCCGCAGCGTCGGTCCACCTACATAGGGCTGCAGTTCATCAGCACTTCTTTGTACGTCGGGCGCATTAGTATAGAAACGGAACAGCTGCCGCAGTGTATCATCATTAAAGTCCACACACCTACCAGCCGATGTAATTTCTCCGTAGAGCGGCAGAGGTGCAGTGCCACGACAGAAATTTACACGCGGATTTTCATCCACATGCTTTCCATGTACCAACACCGTGTTCAGCTGATACTCATAGAAGCTCCACTCGCGCCCATTTGTGATTACAGTCTGTGTGTTCATCGGGTAGGTGAGCTCATTATACGTATTAAAGCCATTATAGTAAGCCTGCGCCAGCAGCCAGGCGTAGGAGGATTGAATGGCCAGGGCATGCAGTGCCTCCTGTAGATCCTGCAAGTCATTGGGATTAGGACGCAGCTGCAAACGAGCGCGCGATTGAAATGATAGGAATCCAAAATTAGGAGCATGAGCAGAAGGCCAATAGCCCGGGGTTATGACAGCATGCTGATATTTGGTTGGGTAGCCCAAAGTGCGTGCATCGTTGTTGAAGCGTGGCAGTTGCTGCGCCAACGCCGCATTCTCGCTTTCTTCTGCCGTTTTCCATGTGGGCAGTTGTTGGTGATGACGAAGTGCCATATACGGAGCCCCTGTGTACTGGACCATTCTATCAACCGTGTCGTTCGCATATTCCTTTTGCCATTCGCGCCCCTGCTTTGATTTCACAACATTCTTGGGCGGGTCCACACCCCCCACAACCCAGAACGCCTCGTGTCGCGGGTTGTAGTCCACTTCAATTTCATGCAGATGTGCATAATCGGCGATCAATGTTTGCAGCAAGACACGATTCAATTGTTCCAAAATAATCTGCGTTAGCTGGAGTTCACGGGTAACAGCATCAGGCGGTGTATCTAGGAGAGTTAGCTTATTTCTACCAAATAAAGAAAGCACTTGTTTAAAATTCGTACCCTTTCATTGAAACATTTTCGTACCTGTAATCGTCATGCGCTAATTCCACCGCATCAATCACATCCGCGCGTGCCGTCTTCACAAATGCCTCAAACTTGTCGTCTGCACCACCTTCCGCCGGCGGAACCGGTGCCGGTGCCGGCACCGGTGTCGGTGCCGATAGCTCTTCAAACGCAGTACGAGTGTAATGTTGGGTCAGGGGCAGTGCATTGTATGGAATCTTGGTATCAGTCAGGTCCACCACTTTGTAGCCGTAATAGCGCGGCATGTTTAGCTTGATTATTTTCTCCTCAATGGTGGGCACCTTGCGGATTTCTTCATGCCAATCAGTAGCTTCCTGCCTTTTGCGTGATTTAAAGTTGAGATCTCTAATTGGTGGATATTCTGGGGTGTCGGTGTATTCCGAGTGTGCGGTCTCGGAGAACGGCGATGTAAGCGACGGCTGCTGCAATGTAGCCAGATGGCGACGGCAAACAATAATCAACCGAGCCCGAAGCTGCTCTCCATGACGCAGCGCCAACATGTTGAGAAAAATAATAATGCAATACAGCTATTTCAATTAATTTAAAATGCTTAAGACTGGCAAAAAGCAAGCAGTGCCGTCGCCACTGCGAGGTTATGACATCGATGAACAGCTGTTCATATTTACTGGCGTTGCCACAGAAGGGCAAACATCGTTGCATCCCCGTTAGTTTAGTGCATCGTTATCGATTTCAAATCATCGATGGAAAAGCGCTCGCATTGTTTTATACGAGGGGAACTCTTTTGCGCATACATTAATAAATAAACATATTTTTTTCCAAAACATTCATTTTTTATTTGTTAAAGTTACATTTAAAGTATACATAAAGGCTTAAGAGTGCAGAACTGGCATACGATTTTAATATTAACGACAAAAAGATTTCGTACTTATCTTATCACGGAAACGCAGATTGTTGAGACTTATCGACAAAGTATATTTAACATATTTGATTGATAAACAAACAACATTGACGACGTCACACTGTCAACGCGTACGCAGAATTTGTCGCAAAAGTCATGTCCAGTATGCCCATCACGGCAGCCCTCAAGAAATTGGAACTAAGTAAGGAGCGTACAAGTGAATGGCTGGCTGCGCAGTCCGCTGCTGTGCTAGAGGATGAGCTTGAGTCATTAGCGGAGTCATCGGTGGTGGACAGTCTGGACGAATACGATTACACAGATCGTGAAGAGACAGACCAAGACAATGATGATGATGATGAAGACGAGGAAATTCACACGATTGCTTTGGGCACACAAACGAGTTAGTCAAAAAAAAGAATACAATATATTTATAATATTAACCGATATATGTATGTATATATATGCCCATGCCAATAGATGGACAGAAAGTTTCTATCATCGGCGATACCCTGCGCGATCTAATGAACTCAATCAACAGCGTTCAAACGGTGGGTAATGTGAACATAAGCAACTCCACCAATGTCCACATAGGCAATGTGACCAACATCAATGGGAATATACAGATCATTGCTGAAAGTCCGGCACGACAGCGCAAAGAACGACGCAAAGCGACGCAAGCCAAGTCCCAAAGTGATCATGAACAAGGCTCACGCCCCCGTAGCCCTGCGCTGGACGACGACTGCGGGGAGGAGCGTGTGAGACCCGATGCATTCATTTCCAGCCAGAGTGGGTATCACATTGACTGCAGAATGATGTCAAATTGATTGCTATATACTTATTTCCAGAATTTAAATTGCCCAAAGAACTCTGTGCAATCGTGCCCCGTCATTCTTGGCTGGCACAGAAGCCCGTTGAGGATCCACAGCCGTTGCAGCGACCCGTCAAATATGTAGTCATATGTAAGTATCCCGCCTAATATATTATGACATAATGTTTAGTAAGGTTAATGGGCTTGTTTATGATCACCTACCATCACCTCCCCCCGTTTTTCAACAGTACACACTGCCACGGAGAGCTCAGAGAAACGCGCCATTAACGTGCGCTTAATACGCGACATACAGGTGAGACAGCTGCGACGTGCCTCACCAATTACAAATTTCATCTTCCTATTTATATTGCAGTGCTTTCACATAGAGTCACGTGGATGGAATGATATCGCCTATAACTTTCTTATCGGCTGCGACGGCAATATTTACGAGGGTCGTGGATGGCAAACTGTTGGTGCTCACACCATGGGTTACAACAAAATTGCAATTGGTGTCAGTTTCATCGGCTGTTTCATGCGTGAATTGCCTTCAGCGGCTGCGCTGCTAATGTGCAAAAATCTGTTGGCACGTGGTGTCCAGGAGGGTCATATTGCAGCCGACTATAGACTCATTTGTCATTGCCAATGCAACTCGACGGAGAGTCCGGGCCGTCGCTTGTACGAAGAGATCCAAAGCTGGGACCATTTTTACAATATTGAACGTGAGGATCAGCAATAGTTTATAGGATTCACCAAATTCCTATGCATTTAATGCAAATGGGCTTATTTAATAACTTAATACCTTCATTGGTGATGTTTTCGGACAAATAACTGAATTGGCTTTCCTAATTACCTTTGTTTTTAAACGTTTATGTTTATCTATGTCGTTCTATACTAATTATTAATAAATAAAAAATGTTTTTTACGGATTTTTCACATTTAATTTGATGTAATTTTAAACTATGGAAACAACTTTAAATTTGCCGCTGGAGCGCTTTTGTGGTTGTTGTTTCGAGCGCCATTTTAAGATGAAGTCTAAGATTCCGATTGGGTTTGGCGTGCTGCGGATAAAAACAACAAAAATTAAATCATTGCTATTAGGAAAATTCATAGTTAATAACGTTGTGCGATCTATTTTCATATGGTTTTATACTAAAAATGTGTCCAAAACGACGCTTCTTCGAATAAGTAGCCGATATAAAAATTAGCTCAGCACAACTATTTCTTTTTACATTAATACATATATAAACACATTTTTGTCAAGGCTTTAATCACTTAGAAGGTATATGCATATAGTGGCGGGGCCCATCAAAGACTTGAGATTGGCCAGATTACAGAACCAAGTAGTTATTGAACGTGCATGCGAAGTTGTTATTAGTGATTTTTGGGACGAGGTTTGGATTTCAGTTAGATAAACAATTTTTAAAGCGAAGCAATAAGAAAATCACATGTAAGGGGTCAGTTTGACTTGTGTTGGATTTAAAGTTTGGTCAAACTATTAAATATACATTGTTACATATGTGTTATCTTATATTTAGACAAGATTAGTGGGCGACAATAGCCGCTTATACATGGGTTGCATGGGTTTGTAGACAGCAGAAACATTTCGGGCAAGCATTAACTTACAACGTTCTAAAAGTTTCTTTTACTTTGTAGATAGAAGACATTATTCTTTTAGATCTGGAATACACATAAAAAATAGTGTAAAGTGGATACTAAAGAAAGAGTACATCTAAAGAATGTATAAAGATTGACCAGCCGATGAGCAAAGGTTTTGAAAAAAGCACCTTATTCAGTGTCCTGCAAGTCGCGATGAAATAACGAATGGATATACTTACGCGCTGGCTTGCCGTTGGCCCATGGTGTGAACTTCACATGGCTATCGTTACGTTTGGCGGCGTCGGCACGCAATTCTGTGCGAAGAGCTTCACGCAGCACACGGGCAGCAATATTGGAGTATTGAATGTAGCTGCAATTGAATAATCGCAACATTATTCAGGATATGACTCCAAGATGCAACAAACACAAATTACGTAATTTGCAATATGTGCGTTTACGCACAGCATATTGCCGTTGCAATGTAAGTCTTTATAGCAAACACGATTAGTACTTACGTAATTCCGACTGCTCTCCAAGCGTTAGTCATTTTGGTAGAATTATTATTGAAAAATGCCTCTTAATGAACAAAATGAACAACTTTATCTGCTGCGTGCGCCTTTTTCAGCCTTTGAGGTTGAGACGATGACGATACACAACGAGCTATCTGTCAGTCGAGCAACTGCTATCGATATTTATTCTTGCCAATGCAGAGCTGTAACTGCCAGCCTGTGCCAACGATACCTCGATACTATTTATTCAAAACACACTTCTTTATTTGTGTTTTGTCTCACTTGCACATGGATTGGCATTGTTGTTTAACACTGCTCGATTAGATGGGTCCAATTGGACCTTTTTATATTTCCAATACCAACAATAATAATATTTCAGAAAACATGTGCTAACAATAAAGTTAAAGTTGACGACTTTCTTCAAATTGCGCCTTTGCAACGTGATGCGGCATTTAAAATAACCACAAAATGTGGTAAGTTGTCGACAAATGCACGTTGAAAATGCCCAAGCACGATTAAAGGTTAAATTAAACGCATTTCATCAATTGCACAACGTTTTTGGGAGCCAGCGCTGTCAGAGACATGTCTGCCAAGCCGCCTATATTAATTATTGAGCCATTCTATGGTGGCAGCCACAAGCAGCTCATAGACACCTTGGTGGAATGTAAGTAGCGGGGGATGGGGTGGAGGCATAGCCAAACATCACAATTCATTGTCATTGGCACATGCAGCCACTGCCGTTGTTCTTAGTGTTGCTGTTGCTTCTTTGTTTCCGCTACGGCAGTAGCTCTTGACAATTGAAAGTTTCTTTGACTCTCCTTAGGTCTCAATTTGGCCGACTATGAAATCTTCAGTCTTCCTGCAAAGAAATGGCACTGGCGGGCGCGCACATCTGCCCTTTATTTCTCACAGCTGATACCGCCGGAACATGAGTACAAAGTGCTCTTCACAAGCTCTGTGCTCAACCTAGCCGAACTGTTGGGCGTGCGTCCCGATCTGGTAACGTGTCGCAAAATAGTCTACTTTCATGAAAATCAACTTGTGTATCCAGTGCGCGAGGTTAAGGAACGCGATTGTCAGTACGGACTAAACCAGATACTCACATGGTACATATGATCTGTCATATATTATTGCAGTTTTAATTTATATATGTACATACATATATGCACATTTATGCATGTACATATATAATATGTCATTCGCAGTTTGGCGGCCGACATTGTGCTCTTCAATTCGAATTTTAATCGCACGTCCTTCCTGGATAATGTGCAGCCATTTCTTAACATACAGCCGGACATCAAACTTAAGCATATACGGGAGCGAATCGAAAAGAAATGCGAGGTGCTTTATTATCCCATCAAATTCCATGCCTTCCCCAATAAGCGACACATCATGGATGCGGACATGAATGCGGGCATACATGAAGAGCCCAACTGCTTGCATTTGATTTGGCCACATCGTTGGGAGCACGACAAGAATCCCAAACTGCTGGTGGAGGTGTTGCTTGAATTAAAGAAGCGACAAGTGGACTTCAAGGTGACAATCTGTGGCGAGAGTTTTCAGGCTGTGCCAGAAGCATTCGAAGGCATACAGGAAAAGTTGGGCACCAAGCTAATCAATTTCGGTTATCTAACACGTGAGAAATACATAAAGACGTTGCTCACGGGAGATGTGGTTATTTCGACGGCCGGCCATGAATTCTATGGCGTGGCCATGCTAGAAGCCACCTATTGCGGCTGCATGCCTATTGCCCCCAACAAACTGGTCTATCCGGAAATCTATCCAAAGGAGAATCTGTACAATACATCAAATTCATTAATCAAAATGCTCTACAACTGGTGCCGTAATCCTGAAGTCTTTCGAAAGCATCGCGATAAGTTTTTCGACTATTTTACATTTGATCGGTATTCGGCGCAACATTTGGTGCCCAAGTATTTGGACAAAATGCGCATATAGTTCGAATCCATCAGCATCCGTATAAAATAAGTTTCATGCATATACCGAATTCCGATTTCACGTTCAGAATGTCGATATAATAACTAGCTTTTATACAAAATGAATTGTTGTTAATTAGGACTACTTGTTTTTAGATATCGAAAATGGAAGCGGAATTCGGATAATGCACAAACGTGGTAAAGGCGATAATTCCAGTTGCTGTTCTGTGCAATAAGCGCGAATTTAGGTTGTAAGAGGAAGGAAAGCGTCCAGCGACAAGCATAACTGACCAATTTATGATATAGTTGATACATATATACATATACTTTGTATATAACGCGTGCTACATATGTACATATGTACATGCCAGGCAGCATAGATAAAGAGTACTCTTTATATTCATAAATATATACATATATTAGTACATATAGTGTTATAGTGGCCCCTGTTTGCCCCAGAATCAAATGTGCAATAGATTACGTCTATACACATCAGGAATATAGTGCCCATACATGCAAGATACATATTATGTATAGTATGCATGTATAATGTTTTATTGGCCGTATCTTATATAACACAACGCTTACAATTACATGCATGCATACACATGTATCTACATATATAAACAATTGCGATTTTTCCGGGCTTTATATAAAATAGGCCCCATATTGAAACTGACACTGATTTGATTCTTTATTCATTCAATTTTTGCAAAATGTAACTTTAGTTAACAGTCCCTTTTCAATTGCTAGTTAATTGTTGCAATGTTTTTTACTCAATAGTTATTAATGTAAGAGAACCAGAAGCCATGAATCTGAAGCCCTTAGCTGATGAATGCGTTTGTTATCTGAAACACCACAGCATTGTGCCGTTGGTTGCATTTCGTTTTCGAAACATCTATAATGTTGAACATAATGCCATTAGTGATGAATGCCTTTGTAAGGAATTTTTAGCTATTACCCATTTTAATATTTTCTACTTTATACTTTAAAATAGACATAACAAAATAACAATTATGCAAAACAGTTTTATTCTTGTGGTTAACAATTTTGCTCACATCTACACTGAAATATCCGTTTCAGAGATTCGTGCTGTAATATTTGCTGCGAAAAAAGAAACTTCGCATGAACTGACACACACACCTTAAATAATTAATTTTATGACTATGGCATTTAATAGCCTGTAAACATATTTAACATAAATTTGATTAAAATCAAGTTTTGGACTGTAGCTTATACATACATACATACATATATACGCATATTATCGTACACATTTAACTTTGTATATGTATGTAATGCGAAACTGAAAAATAGCATCATGTGTCAAATTTCTGCAACGCTTTTCACAATGAGTCGTCGTAGATTTCCTCAAAAGTGATTTTCCTTAAATTTCGGAGGTGCGCTATATTTCTCTTTCTCATGCGCACGATATTCCTCATCATCGTCATGACAGTCACGGAAGCATTGCGCACAAAAGAGTTCACCGTCGCAACCCCGACAGCGAAAAACAGCATCTTCGTTGCAAATATTGCACCAAGGCAGCTCCTCAGTTTCAGTCGAGGGTGTGGGCACTGGTATGCTATTGGCCAACTCTGTTTCTAGTTCATTGGCCGCAACTGGCAAACGCGCTTCAGCAAAATACTGCATAAAAAAGAATAAATGAGATGGCAATAGAGATTGGACGGGTACTGATTTTGTCCTACCTTGTCCATAATCTTTTTAAGTGTAGTTTGCTCGTCCTCCTCGGCTTCATTATCACTAGGAGTGTTGGTATCTGGTGAATAGACTGGCCCGCCTGTTGCGATTGCTGTGCTCCCTTCGATTGGCGCATCACGCAACGCCCGCAAGCGACGCTCAATATCCGAAATAGCATCATTGCGTTCATGCTCTATGCGTTGATCAATTTGCGTCTCGCCCAAAAACTGTTCTAAAAGATCTTTCATTTTCTCCTGATCGGTTCTTTTGTCTGTCGATAGCAACAAATCTTTCTTGTCGTAGTTCTTCTGGTGCGGCATTCCACTTAAATTGGACAATCGCGCACGTATTTCGTCGTCTGTGGACTCAACAGCCTTAAGATTTTGCAACCGTGTGCTTATTGCGCTATCAAGATTTTCGTCAATATCCTCGGCGGCTGTGGAATGTACTCTAGTTGGATTGGTGTCAGGTGTTACGCTGCTAATAGGCGCCAGGACAGCGGCCAGTTCCTCAGAGGGTAGCACATTGCTAAATTGCAATTGGAAAAAAGTATTTATAGAAACATGTTGTGTACAAATTTAATAATCTGGGACTTACTCAAAGAGTGCATCAGCCGCCTCTGCGTCATGTGTTGTGGCGCCTTTAGGTGGCGTTCGCTTGACCAGCTCCCCCGGCAACGCCTCACAATCAATGACTTTCTCAGCCTCAGCACTAGCTTGCTGCTTATTTAGTTTGTCAAAGCAGATTAGACAGACGTTCAGCACTTTGCCACCCTGGCGTGGCACTGGCATTGGCCGCTTCAGACATTTGGCGCAGTAGGAATATCCACAATTGGGACAACCGTACTACATAAAAAGATAATCTTAGCCATGTATGACTAATCCTAATCTTATTGCCACTGATTACAATTACTCATCACTTACCTCTTTGCAGAACAGTCCATATTTGCGGCTGCAGCCGAAGCAACTCATCTTGGACCAATGCACTAATTGAATTTGGACCAATTAATTATGTTACTAGAAATTTTGAACGGGAAATAAACAAAGATTACTAATTCTAACTGGAATTTAAGCGGGGGCATGTCAACTTGTTTTAACGTTTCACGACAGCTATCAATGCTTACGATGTCCCGATAACAATTTATCGGAAAGCTACATTTTAAAACGCTGAAAATCTTTATAATTCTTTGTATTTTCGTTTTAAGACTTCATTGCTTATGTGCAAATTTTGTTCTCTATGCAATGTCAAAAAAATTGCAATTTTAAGTTGAGTTACCAGTGCAACGTTTAAGCAACAATCACACATAAAACCCTTACATTTTGGGCCTCAATATCGACCAGCTGGCTAAATATTTAATTCCTTGAGCAACACTTTAAAGATTCGACGTTACCATTATAAAACAGCTATTGCGATTCGCCGGATTTGGAGTTTATTAATGAGTCGCAGCTAAATTTAGGCAACGAAATTGCTTTAAAAGAGCTCACAACAATATGTACATCACGTTTTGCTATCTAGCATTAATGCCAATGTGTTGTGTGTTGTTGCAGACGTGATCAGTTCTGCGATCTCACTTCTTCTGTTCTTGTGTCATAACTTAACATAAACACACACAGATTTACGCTTTAAAAATTTTCAGTGTATATATGTTATTATTACAATAGGTATGCTTATGAGTTTAATTTTAAGTTTATAACTATTGAAGAGCAGAGGGGAATGTTCATCTTTTGATTGCTACCGTGAAGCTAATACATAAGAACAATCTCGAAATGTACGACTTTTTAGCTTAAGTATCAATATAGAGCGGAATTACACTGAAGTACATGCGGTATAAATATGACAATTGATTAAGGAAACTTGCGTTTTTCATTTGGAAATCCATCTCTATGCGCTGCACATCAAGCTTTCGTTATTTTTTTTTTTTTAGAAATGCATTGGTAGAATACTTGTTAATTCAATCTTTGTAGTTGGGTTGTTTAATTGAGTGGACTTTAACCATTCTATTCGGATGGCGTGAGATCGCGTTCCAATTCATTTTCATTGAGAATTTGGGAGAGCAAGTCATGCAATGGTTCCAAAATTTTCTTGGCGCCTGTGTTAGTTAGATTTTTGTAGTCGAACATATCATGATGACTGATACTGCCGTCCCCTTGCACTAGACCCTTGTCAATGGTAACGGTCTGTACGCGGTCCATGCCTTTGGTCTGCTCCCTGATGAATTCATTGACCTTAGCGTTTTTATCACGCAACGCATTTGGCTGCTGCCCGCGAGGTAGCAGTGACTGAAAATGCACAAAGAGGCACCAATTTCATTTGCATAAATACCTACATACATATATATATATAAGGATTTGATTTTGTGTAACTGTTTTTACTGCTTACTGGTATTAGAATGTAGGCCCCGGGCAATTTTTCGCGAATTTTCTTCACACACGCCAGCACTCCCTCGGTCACTTCAGCGGCGCTGTTATTCACATTGTTAGTCCCCACATGCAACACTACAATTTTAGGATTAACGTTGTCTAGCGCTCCATTTTCGATGCGCCACAGCACATGCTCTGTGCAATCGTCGCGTATGCTAAAGTTAAGGCAGTGGAGTGGTGCAAAATATTGATTCCACGTCTCGGTATCCTGCAACGTCTCAAATATGCAATCGCCTAAGAATATCACATCTGGATCCTTTTCACGGCAATCCGAGATGAAGCGGCGATGTATGCTCTGCCAGCGCTTGTCGCCGTCAACATCGGCAACGGGTGTGGGCACAGCGCAGGGATTCATGATGTGGGTGATAATGATACAGCATGCAGCAAGATGCACGCTAGACTGTGCGAAAAACAATACAACAGCTCGCTGTTAGTAACTTAATACTTAATGCTTTATTGCCACAGCTGTTCCTCACCTATTCTATGTTGTGATGTGTGTTGCCACCGCTGTCTGGAGTACGCACAGGCTCGTGCAAAAGATGAAAATAGTGCAACAAAAAGAATAATTAACAATACAAAACAGCAGCGGCGTTCCGTGTGCAAGCCCTGTCAACTTGTGTGTAACTCCTGAGAGCAGGGTCGTAATAATAAAAGCTGCATAGATATCGATAGTTTCGAGCCAATATACATACATATGTAATAACAAATAGACAGTTGCAAAAAAAGGGTATTCCTGATTGTTGATCTAAGATTTGATTTTTATTTAGCAGATCAGATGTTAAAACCCAAAATGCGACACACAATAAAAATAACGCGGGACAATTTAAACAAATTGTTAAAAGCCGCGCCAAATGAATCTTCAAAATCGATTTTATCTAGGCTGTTTAACTGTTGTTTTTTGCATTAAACAAATTGCCGAGTGTAATGTGAGGTGGGGTTTCACATTTTTTTGTATTGGACTGAAACTATGTATATATATGTATAAATATATGATTTGCATATAAACTAACGATCAGTGAAAAGCTGTTGATCAAACCTTAAACACGACTTAAAAGTGATCATACCATCTCCTGTTTAAGTTTTAATTCACTGTAAACGAAAGCTTTAAGTCATTTCAGTTTGACGGTTAAGCCTCCTATTTCAACCAGTATTATATTGTTAGCTGCAACTTTGATTATTTATCTTGAACAGCTTCCTGAAAACTCTAATTTAGAATGTTTGTAGCTCCGTAAATGATTGAGTTGGAGCAATAAGACAATTTTGGTCTATGTTGTAGAGCTTAGAAAAGTGACTTGGCTGTGAATCGGGGCGTAGCTGGCAGAATGGTAAATTAAATTAGCCCATTGAATGTAAAGCGTAACTACGATATTATTGTAAGATGATTAGATTTATATTATTTTGACTTTATTAGCCTAAAAAGCTTTATTAGCCTATGCATATCGACATGTGAGGAGACGACTTAATATGATCATGTCCGTTGGTATGAAAACCATATGAACTAATTGGCAGTAAAAGGTAGGAACACCAAGATTGGTATACGCGTATGTATGTACATATGCATGTGTGTACAAGTACCAAGTTAGTTACAAATTATACATACATACAGGGTGCGCCATCTTTTATGTCGGTATGTAAATATTGAATAACTTTGTCATTCGTGAACCGATTGACTTGAGTAGACCAGTGTTGAAAACCGCAGTTCAAGAAATTGTACAGAACCAAATAAAATAAAAATATCTCATACTTGAAAATCGGTTGTTTATTTTCAAAGATATTCAATGTTTACATACCGACATAAAAGATGGCGCACCCTGTACATATGTAAGTGCAATTTTTTTGTACAGCTGTCATAGGATAGCATAATCAAATTTAATATAATTGCGAATAATGTTTTAACGTAATTTAAAGAACGTAATATATTAAAATACTCTCCTATAATTGATATACATACTATGTATGTATGTACATATTGGGTATGTATGTAATTCAGTAATTTTCCCATCGAACTTATACATATGGCTCACATATTATATTATGCATGTATATAAAATTGTGTACATACACACATATGTATGTATTTCCTTAAGCATATGTATGTATGTACATATGTAAGTAAGTATGTACATCTAATAATTTAATTCGAGTTGGTATTTAAAAAGGTTTAAAATACTTGTGCACTGCAAATTTGAGGACAGAAACGTCCTTTAAAAAAATAATAGTAATAAAAAAGTTACGTTCTAAAATGAGTTCAAATGAGTGCACTTAAGAGCACCTAAAACTGCTAATATTGCTAAAAGTAAGCGATCACTGATTAAAATGTGAACCATTTGGTGTGATTCCCCGAAAAGCATTGATCTTGTGGCACATAGTGTGGATGTACATGTATGTACATATGTATGTATGTATGTGCATACATATTGAAGCATTCTAAGATCAGTCGTCGAGATTTATTCGTTCCATTAAGTCAGCAATGCGGGAATTTAGATATTCGATCTCGTCACGGTACAAACCTGTCTCATACAACAAGTTTTCGTACTCCGACATTACATTTGCGGGCGGTTCAGCTAGTTCAGTATTTCTGGGCCTTCTAAGGCTGCTCGTGCTACTCTCACTGCTGGTACTGCTGCTTTGCCGATCCGCCCCAGACCCCTTATCTTCGAAGTCAAGAAAAATCTTGAAATATGTGGAGCTACTGCAGCGGCAAATGGGGCAACGTTTTGTAGACGACCTGTGGTAACAATAAACTCCTTGTTTTGGACTAATTCGTATTTCTGTTATTTAAATCGAGCCTATACTTACTCATCGAACCAGCGCTTCAGGCATTGCCAGTGGAAGACATGTCCGCAAGTCCCCGCATGAATTTCATCCGCAGCCATATATCGCTCCGAGCAAATAGTGCAGCAAACGCCCTTTTCACTGGCACTCATGTCCTACCTGAGTAAAGTGTGTGCACGGCTTTGTGTAGTATGTACATATGTATGTATGTGCACACGTTGGTATATGTACATATGTATGAATAGGTACGTATGTATGTATGTGTGTGTGTTCACGTTGTATGTTTAATATCCAAAGGAGGGCTACGCGCTGAAATCAGACTCAACCAATCTGTAATGACAAAGGCCTCAAACTGAATGCATTTTGCTGGCATACGTACATATGTATGTACATTCATATATGTATGTATGTAGGTACATATGTACATATGTATGTATGCACAAATGCTGAGTCGAAAGCTTAGCGAACGAAGCTGATAACCAAATCGGCACTAGTTGTTTATTTGTTTATTCTCAGATTGATAAAATCGAGGTCGCGAGAGCCGCCCAAAATATTGCTGAGATGAGATTGGACATCTAACTGTAAAATGCAAGCGTAAGCCCTTGAGATGGGCAAATCACATGATTAGTACATACTCCTCTACTCTTCGCTTAGCATCCGCGCACAAGCAGATGTTACATAAATAAATACATACATACATATGTACTTACATTTGAGTATATGTATGTACATATGTATGTATGTATGTGCCGGCACTGCTGTATTTGCTAACTGCTGAACATGCATACATACATTGTATTTAAGTATTTACATACATATGTACATATATACAAACGTATTAATGTAGAAGCTACGCATAAACTCACAAAAAACAAAGACATGATTAGTTCGAAATGATTTTAAGAAGTTCCGACCGACCGCCCGTCCGAACGTAGTTAGCTGTATAATCAATTTTTACATGCGCACACGAAAAAAATACGAAAAGCCCCCGGCCTCTCGGTGTAAAATGAGCTTAAGACTCATTTGCGAGTTGTACAAAAAAAAGCCATTCAAACCCTTCACTTCATACAGACAATATGTTCATACATAAGGTGCGTTGCAAAACTATAGAACCACTTAAAAAATTGCGATTGCTTAAAAACGACTGACTGTAGGGTACAACAATGTTCTGCGAAAATGTGTTAAAGACAAAATAAGGAAGAAATAACGGTATTTGGTTTAAATTTTTAGTGTAAAATTAAAAATAGAGGAAAAACGGTTTTTTGCTGTTGCATTACTATAGAACCACTTGCGTAAATGTTCAATATTGAAACAAATAATAATTTGTAATGTATTTAAATGGCTTAAATTTATTAAACAAGACTTCCTTTTTTTGTTATTGTCTCAGAAATGCGACTCTTCATACTTTTAACAAGAGTTTTGAGCAAATTTGGTTCCCATTGCTCCCATTCTCTTATTATTGCCCTTTTCAATTCATGAACATTGTCGAATTGTCTTTGATCCTTATAGATCCTTCGGACAAGTATTTCCCAAATATTCTCGATCGGATTAAGGTCTGGGGAACAAGCCGTCCAATCCATAACGTCTATCGATTTCTCGGAAAACCAAGACATGGTTTCTCGGCTTACATGGATTCTGGCATTATCCTGTTGAAATGCCCATGTTTTTTCCGGTTTTGCCTAATAAAAGGCAATATGCTCATTTTTAGGACATTAATGCAGTCGCTGCACTTCATTTTCGATGATACGAATTGGATTGCCAAGCAACCTGATGCAGAAAATGCTGCCCAAGTCATCACAATTCCTCCTCCAAAGTCTCGCTTGGAAAACACCAACGGCTCCTTCCTTAAATCGCGCCAGTATCCTCGAAAACCGCTTGGTTTCGAGGTTCCACTTTTTTCATCAGAAAAAATCACCTTAAGCCGTTAATTTTTTAAGTGGTTCTATTGTTTGGCAACGCACCTTATATACATACATATATGGGTGTATGAAGAACAAACTTCGTTGTTATTATTAAATCGCAACGCTTAGAAGGAAGACGTTCATATGTATGTAGTACGTGTGTGTGAATAACATTGAACATATTGAATCATAACTGCACTCGAAGAAAAAGTTTTTGAAGGTTAAGGCAATCATTATACCCGGTACCCAAAGGGTTAATAAGTATACTAGTACAATGAAAACTCCCTTAATGGACACCTCTTTTATCCGGACACTCTCTTCGGCGCGCTCTTTTTCTAAAAACATTCGATCGGTGTATAAAGTATTTAAGTATCCCCTTAAGCGGACACTCCCCTTTGGCGGACAAAAATTGGCAAGAGAGTTTTCACTGTATAGTGCGAATGTATGTAATACACAGAAGGAGGCGTGGCAGACCCCACACAGTATATATATTCTTGATCAGCATGACAAGCCGAGTCGATATAGCCATGTCCGTCCGTCTGGATGAACGCAAGGATCTCAGAAACTATAAAAGCTAGAATAACCAAAGTTGGCATCCAGATTCTCCTAGGTCCGAGAAAGGACGAGTTTATTTTTTATTTTTTAATTTTCCCCCCTTCCCCCGCTACAGAATTTCGTCAATAGCGTACACATTTCAAATGCTACCTAAACCAAACTTTGTACACATCGTTTATATATAATTATCTACTGTTGTTTAAAATTTTATCCAATTGTAAGAAAAGTTATTAGCGAAACAAATTCTCGCCAGTACAACCCCCCCAAACTGCAGCAACAAGTTCGCTCTTCTTCTTCCTCTTTTTGCTGATGCTATGGGCGCATATACCTCAATGTCGGAAGTTTACCTGGGTACAGGGTATTACACTGTCGGGCTTGCTCGACTGTAGCGTTCTCTCTTGTTTTTAATTGTCCTTTTTTGTGGGGAGTACAGGGTATTTTAGTGTCGGGCTTGCCTAACTGCAGCGTTCTCTCTTGTTTTGAAATCGAAACTGCCCGGAAAATTGTAACAAATAGCACATACAAGTACATGTACATATCAGCGAAAAACCATACTGTTTATAATTTTTATGTATGAATGTATATATGTATTTGCATTCATTACATACATACTATACATAGGTATGCATCATATCCAATCTTGAGAATATGTTAAATTTAATGCAATAATAAATTTGTACATCAACGAAATAAACTCCTAACACTTTTTGGGCGCTAATACTAGAATTGAATAGATCTAATGTGCGAAATTAAAATGGTGACAAGGGCCAACTTATACATTTGTTTGGAAAATAAAGTGTAAAATAATGCTCTAATCTGCAAAACTGTCTTTCTTTAAAGAAAACCCTGTAACCAGAAGGTGTCAAACGGTATGTGCAAATGTACGATCATTTAAAAGGTAGAGCTAGAATAACCAAACCTGGAATTTATATTCTCCTAAGCCCTAGGTTGTTGATTTTTGGTTAACTCCTGTAATTCTTAGAACTTTTTGCTCAAATTTGGCAATTCTCGTATGATTTGATGATTCGCTTCTTCCCATGTTCTACCAGCAGTTTTTGTTTTTTCTGCTGCTTTAGAACAACCCTGGAACTGCATGCATGGACATGCACAGGCGCATTCTCGTTGTACATTTTTTAACCCTGAACATTAAATATACAAGGGTTTACTACAAACACAGTTTATTGCGAATGTACATACATACATACATATGTAGCACACAGAAGAAGGTGTGGCAGACCCCACAAAGTATATATTAAATCAAGCATTCTTAATTTCCTTAGATCAGAATAATATTGGTTTTTGCTCTTGAAAATTTTTTCCGTTTTTCCAAGAATAATTGATCTACTGATTAATTTTTATTGTTTTTCTTTTTTAATATTTGAATGAATATTTTGTATGCTTTATGTTATGTATATTGACAGTTATTTGTTAGAATGAATAAATAATATTCTTGATTGGTATGACAAGCCGAGTTGCGATATAGCCATGTCCGTCTGTCCATATGAACGCAAGGACTCAAAAACTCTAAGGGCTAGAATAACTAAACATTGTAACCAGATTCTCCTAAGTCCGAGACTAGGTTTTTATCTGATGCACCGTCCACTCCCCCGCTATAAGTAATTTTACATAGCTCCCGTAATTATTGGAATATTTTACTCAAATATTTCAATTACATGCCGTTAGCTCTTATGTGTCTTCATCTTATCAGGATAAGTCAAATTTTAAGGAGTTTATAGCCATAAATGTAATCTCTGCCAAAACTCGGCCTTCATACATATACAAATATATATGTATATGTTGTTGCTGCTTTGGCTCAACTCCGTACTGCACGCATGCTCACATACAGCCACACATAGACATGCATAGACACGCATGTACACAAATGGTCAAGCACAGCCATACACATGACGCATTAACAGGTAAAAACCTTCAACTTTATCTGCCTAGGGGATGTAATTACGAAGTTTGGTTATCCTAGCTCTTACGATTTATTAGATCCCTGCGTTGAGATGGACGTGCTATATAAGTATGTACTTGTATGTATATCGAGTCGTCTTGTCATACTAAGCAAGAATCTATATACTTTGCCCTTTGGGTACAGGGTATTTACACAAATAAATAAATTTCAAATTTGGGAACATACTTGTACTTAAGAAATATAAATTTGAAGAAAGAGTAGCATTTATGATGAATGTGGTCGTATTTCGACCAACGGGCGATCCTAGTATTCCATTAAGAAGTCTCTTCAATAAATGGATGTCTTTGAGAATTTTCGTAATCGAAAATGAAAAACTGCAGTCTTTGTCTAAAATCTCTGTTAACCGGGGCGAATGCAAAAATGTAAAAGGATGATTGAATATTATTTCTTTATTATTTCATTTTATTTTCTTAAACCTTTTACAGTACAAAACATACATACAATTATAGTGCATACATACTTGTACATGGACATGCATTCATATGTAGTACGTAGGTATGCATTGAAAATGTACAATATGTACATACATCCATACATGCATAGAGTACTGGCTACATTGTATGTACATACAAATTAATATTCGAATGCTGAAAGTGTGATGAGGATTTGTTATTAAACAATTTTCTTTGCTCATTCACAAATCATATTTGGTGTGTATAAGTATTAGTGTGAGTTATTTCTGTATATGTAGTACATATGTATATATACTATATAAACGGAATGTTGACCTTGTCTGGCCCTTCTAGGTATATTAGCTGGTTCCCACTTTAAATAAAATAAAATGTCAATTATTCTATTGAGTTAAATGAGAACTAAAATTCGAACTGGCCAAACAAACAAAAAACATACTTGTAATAATAATCACTTCTAAGTTGCGATGTCTTTTAACCTATAGCTGTGGAAACATTTTGGGGACGCTACAAATAAGTAGTAAACATAAAATTAACACCTTACATTAAAACTATGTCGAAAATGGGAGAGGGCTAGAAAATTTCGAACATAAGCGGAGCTGCGAACTATTGTCTTTTTATGTCGCTATAGTAGGAATAATACTAAATAAGCAACCGTCATAGCGTTTGCATCAATGTCTCATAAAATTACAATAACATTGTTAGCGGGGGGGAAAAATGGTCCGATCATACCGTAAGATTACATATTTAGGGATTTAAAGCATTTTGTTAGTCTTTTGGATTTTCAACTTGGTTGGCACCTTGCTAACCTCCCCCTCAGCCGTGTCGGGACGCTGCTGCAATGCATCGTTCACTGGAGTATCATCTATAGTTTTGCTATAATATTGGCTTTTCTTCGGAATGGCGACGTTCATATAGATGGGTGGTGTGGTTGGTGCTGGGGCTGGGGCTGGTGCTGATGCTGCTGGGGCCGATGTTATTCCGTTGTCGGGGGTGGCTGTCGACGTCGGACTGGGCGTTGTGGGTAGCTCCTCCTCCTCCAATATAATGTCGTCCCCCACCATGGTGATGCGCCGCAGTGGCAAGTTGCCGTTGCTCTGCATCAGCGTCCCGGATCCAGGACGATACAAGCTGTTGTTGGCTGAGTTGGGACTGGTACTGCTGCTGTTGCTGTTGCTGTTGAACCCGTTGTTTATGTAGGAGTGATTGTTCTTCTTGAGCGCTAGCCGACTGCTGGTGGAATTTTTCGATTGGTTTTGGGTGCTGGGAGTCGCAGCTGTCGTGACTGAGGGCGGCGGCGGTTGCGGCGTAGCCGCTATCGCACTCGATGGTGGGATGGGGCTTTCGTCCTGTCTCCTTGCCATCAGCTCTAGGGAGATCGATGGACACAGGGTGGGGGTTGGACCCGTTGTCGCAGCCCCTGACGATCCCGCCGTCATCATGCACGCTGACATCTGGGATACAAGCGTGCGGCTGTGGTTGTTGCTCAACCCGGTATCTTTCCATTTCTCTGAAACGATTTGAGGCCGTGACTTAGCTGGCGGAGTTCTCTTGAGTACAATAGGCTTCAACGTACATACCTGCTGCACTGCTGGCCCCGTTTGCTTTGCCGAAGGGCAGCAGCAGCTGGGAGGGCTTGCAAAGCACAACCGTCTTGTAGGCCTTGCGGTACTGCTTGTTCATGATGACATAGATTATCGGATTGATGCAGGCGGACAGATAGAGCATGATATAGCTGAAGATGTGCAGGCTAGGATGCTCGACGTCTTTGTCGGCGACCTTTACAATCGTAATGGGAAGGTAGCAGATCACGAAGGAGAGAAAAATGGCGAGCACCATCTTTGTAATCCGCCACTCGTTGCGCTTCGCGCGCACCTCCCGTTGATCCTTGACGCGCGTTGTTTGCTGCTTACCCACAGCCCCGGGCTGTGGATCTGGCACGTCCGTGGAGTAGCTGCTGCTATCTGAGGACACGCGACGATTGCCGCTAGGAGCAACAGAGATGCCGGCCTCACCTACGGATGGGGCCGCTGAAGCCGCCGGCGTTGTAGGGAGCGTACGGAGATTATTTGGTATCGAGTTTTGATTATTCGCATGACGCTTTAGTCGTTGCTCGGATTTGTGCACCACCCAGAATATCTTGGCATAGCAGGCGATGATCACGAGACAAGGTATTACGAAGGCGGTGATAAATAACGTTGTTTTGCTGCTGTGACCGTGTCTGTCGCTCATAATGGAGCAGGTCTGCAGACGACTGTCATAGCCAAAACGCCCCCAGGCTCCCAGCAATGTAGGCAACTGCATGCCGTAGGAAAATATCCAACAGGCCGCTATCATAAAAGCGATCCAGTGTCGCTTGTAGATGCGCGCATAGTAGCTGTGATGGGTAATCATTACGTATCGGTTGATAGTGATCATCGCTATGCAGAGCAAGGAGACTCCTATGTTGCCATATTGGATGAAAGGTATGAGGCGGCACAGTACCTCTCCGTGTTTCCAAGTGCCCTGCACAAAGCGCAACCCCTGGAAGGGCAGGACCAGTGCACAGAAAAGAAGATCGGCGATGCACAAGCTACATGAGGAATTGGGCCCATTGAGCAAAGGTCTTAATACTTGTAGTTTTCTAACCGTATACTCACCTTATTATAAAGGCTGCTGCTACATTCCGCACCTTGGGACATTTCAGCAGAGCGACAACGGTAAGGAAGTTGCCGCAGATGCCAACGATCATGATTAGAAACGTCATGATGGCCGCGAATGTCAAAAGTGATTGGGAGAAACTGAAAGCAAAAATGGAACGGCTTTTAGGTGGATGGGACTCATGGGAAAGAGTGTATGTGGAAGTGTAAGTGCGATTGTGCCTACACTACCGATCACTACTAGCGCTCTTCGCCATAGGGACGAAATATGATAATGAATGATGACCATTGTTGGTCGTCGCGCATCAGCGTGATGAGTTTGCTTATGCGTGCGTGTGTGTGCGCCTGTGTGTGTGCAGATTATGGTTGAAATGGGCCGCGTAATAATAACGATCTGCAATAATTACACCGCACCACACGCCACTGTCACAACCACAGAGTGCCACAGAGCACTGATAAGTTAAGCTCAAGTAACGGCCACCAAACGTACCCGCTGGCGTCGCCTGCATCCGCTGTGGGTATGAGGTCGGAGTCATCGTAGCCAGCTCCGAGATCACCGCTGCCCTCGCCACTGTCCTTCATACTGAAAGTGTACAGAAAAGAGTATGGGTATATTTATCGGCAGAAGTTGAACTTAAGGCTACCCCCTTAAACAGTAAGGGGCGACCTACTCTTAATATTTCTGAATGCACAAATTGTATCCTTTTCCGCTGACACGCACGTCGTACACGCAAAACTAAAGCACCGAACTGAGAACTGACAACTCGACAATCGCAGTCTGGTAACTGAAGGCCACGATGACGATGCCACCACCGTAATAAACTATATGATCGCCACTCAGCTATACTTTAAAGTCTGAATAATGCGGCTTCAATGCAAGTAGGTGGGTGGATGGGGCTAGGGGTCTCGTATGTGACTGATGCGCCTTCATGGGGGCTTTCTTTCTTTTGTTTTTTTTTTTTTCTTCAGACTATTCTCTTCTATAACAGTAAATTAGTGTCAATTAAATAATTTCAAGAGGTCACTCTCATACGAACAAGCCCATCACCAACAAACAACCATCAGTCCCTGAACGAACATATCTGAGTCTGCCTCAATGTATCACACCCCATGTACATACATATGTATACATATGTATCTGCATATATGTATCTTTCCATGTAAAACGCACTAGTTTATGGGTGCAAAGATCAACGCCGAAGCCAAACCTTAATTAATTGATTGTCTGCCACAAGCTGGGCCGAGTGACATGCTGATATACTATATACATATGTTAGCATGTAGATATTTATACTATATAGACGGAAATAAGAAAACATACACACATCAAAAGAACCCCTTTATACGATTCTCAGACTTTTTTGTTTACAATCAACCCCAAATATAGGAAATCGCCCGATACCTTGCATTCGTCAAGAGACTTTTTGACGCACGCCGCCTTATAAGTATATTAATGGTTTTCTTTTCGGTGCCGATAAATGCTTAGGTGAAGCCGTAGCGAACAATTTTTGAAATGATAGCGACATATTTTATTTTGAGTAGTTCCAAAAGCGGAAAGCTTTGGACACTAAGTATTATGTGATACCCCCGAAGTTCGTCTTTTTCAATCTAAAGCAAATGTACAATCAGGGGATCTTTATACTTGTAGACAAAGAATATAGAAAGCAAGAGAAATGTTTCACATCAATACTATGAAGATCAGTCTATTGCGAAAGAGATTAATTACTAGTCGTCTGTTAACCCACTAGCAAGAACCAAAGCCACAACACAACTTCAGTCCTAACAAAAGAGAATGCTACAGTCGAGCAAGTCCGACTGTGAAATACCCTGTACCCAAACCAATTTCCGCCGCTAAGTTACATGTGCCCCTAGCACAGGCAAAGAGAGGAAGAAAAGCGAACTTGATGCTGCAGTTAATGAGTGTAGGTATTGGAGTTAAATTGTTGATAGATTTGGGTGAACATTGAAACAGCAGCAAAGAATAATATATTTTATGATATATATGATAAGGTAATGGAGCTTTAGAATTGTGGACAGTATTTACGAAATTCTGTAACGCGGGAAGGGGAGGGGGAAAAAAATAAACTTGTGCTGCCTAAGGACTAGGAGAGCTTAAGTACCAAGTTCAGTCAATATGGGCTCAGCCGTTTTCAAAATCTAGGCGTTCATCCAGACAGACGGACATGTCTAAATCAATTTTTCTGTCTTTTATGGGGTCGAAAATGCTTCCTTCTGTCTGTTACATACTTTGCGAAAACCTAATATACCCTTTTTACCAAGGGCGTAGGCAGCATATCCAAAGGGTGGGCCCAACAGTTTAAACTTTGATTAAATAATGCACGATGCGATTAAATAATAACTTATGCATATGATCAATATAAACAAGAAAGGAATGCTAAAGGCGAGCAGGCTCAACTCTTATATACCCTGTACCACCCCACAAAAAAGAAATTAAATTAATTTAATTAATTAATTAATTTAATTAAATTAATTAACTAAATTAATTTAATTAATTAACTTAATTAAATATAAAATATTCCATACATGCATACATACATTTACAGTTACATCAGAATCGTGTCTATGCGTGTTTGTGTGTTTGTACATATGTATGTATGTGTGCATTGGGACTGGTTATGTGGCTATAACTTTCTTTCCGATCATTCTATTATAATGAAACTGATATACGGCTATATAATCACTAACCTAATGTGACTACCAAGTTTTAGTTCAAAATTCCAAGAATTACGGGAGTTATAGAAAATCGTTAATAGGGGGAGTGGGGAGGTGGATCAGAAAAAATGAACAAACTCGTCCTTTCTCGGGCTCAGAAGAATCTGTATACCAAGTTTGGTTATTCTAGCTCTTATACTTTCTGAGATCCTTGCGTTCATACAGACAGACGGACGGACAGACGGTTATGGCTATATCGACTCGGCTTGTCATGCTGATCAAGAATATATATACTTTGTGGGGTCTACCAAGCCTCTTTCTGTGTGTTCCATGTGCACTCGCACAAAACTAATATACCCTTGTACCCTTGGGTACAGGGTACACAAATTCAACAAATCCAAGTTCTATTTAAGGCGAAATAATGCGCAATAATGGCGAACGTGTTTTCAATGGCCAAACGGAACTCTTATGTCTATATCAATTATTTTCATTGATTAATCATTTATGTATAGTATCTATGGCCCGTCATGCCTCCTTTTGCCTCTTATATAAAATCAAACTTTTTGGTATAACTGTTCATGATAAATAATTATATAAAATACATACATTACGAAAAAATTAGGTAAATACAAAAAAGTAGAAAAAAGCTGATATATCTTACTTAAACACAAAAAGAACTTGCATGCTACTTAAGAATCTTTTTAAATCATATCATTTTTACGACACCTATATATATTATCTGATGATCCCGTTTGATCCGGTCCCGATATATTCTTTGTGTGCCATAGTATGAAGACTCTGTGTAGGGCTTCAAATCGTTTTATTAAACACGATTAACTTTTTGGTTAATGTAAATCCTAATATTCAATTTGCATACACTAATTTACAATTTATTTCAAACACATACATTTTTTATACGAACAAGTCACATCAGCATATGACTAAATAGCAATATTTGGTAAATCCAAGTATGAAATCCATCTCCTCCTCCTGCTGGTCGTTACAAATATCAGAGTAAACGGAATATAACTTTTTAGCGGGCATCCAAATAATGAAGTAAGGAATAAATTAACACAACTATCGGGAGAAAATTTCAAACGCTATCGTCTAGTTTAGAAGACAAGGCTAAGATGGCTGGAGTGGAATTGACGTGCCGATCTTATATGTTTATGCAGTTGTAACTCACCTTTTTATTGTAATGCCAAGTACAAGATAAGTCCAGCGAAGTCGTTTTGTTTGTGTATTTGTATGAGGATGTGGAAGTGACTCCTCAGTTTGTGGATAACTGACTCTATCAGCGACAGTTAAAGAGACCTCTTTCTTTGAATTCTTATGAGACTAGTTGTGATTACTTGTGTTTTTGCTGATGCCATTGAGTGGATAGACCAAGCCCCTGCTTCCTATCGGCTGGGCTCACGCTCCCTCTTATCAGAGCTGTCGACAGTCCGTGCAATCGAAACTATTATTTGAAATATGTATTTGCCTTTAACTGACACTGCCGGGGCTCTATCCAAGAAGAGCGAGCACTGATCGAACAACAGACCAGACTACACCGACAGGCACCGACTTCGAGGTCGTAGGTCTGTTTTAGCGCACAGAACCGACAATAGAAGATCGGATACTATCACGCTTATGATCGGCGCTCAAGTGCGTACTACGTCAGGTATGAGTAATGCCATAGTAATGTAAACAGTTTGTTCATTCATTCATGTTGCTGTTGTTGTCGTTTTTGTTGTTAGCAGGCAATACCGCTGCTGTCGCAGTCAGTGCTGATGATTCAAAGGCTGCTGCTGCTGCTGCTGCTGCTGCTCCAAACGTGACTAATACAATTCAGACTTAATGTTGCACTCGCGTTAACGACTTTGCGTTTCTGGTTACAGGTAAATGCAAATACCCTACTAAGATAACTAATGCCTATGCCTTATCATTGTTGGGCACGCAGAGCACAAAATAATATAAAAAAAAAGTGTAAAAAAAGAAAACACACGCACACACTACAATGGGGTTGCAAATTAAACGCGTATGTTTTAAACAAATGAATGAGGAATGCAATTAAAAGATTATTCCACAAACTAACCGTAACGGACGAAAATGAAAATGAAAACGAATACAAATCCGCCGACTACGCCTACGGGTTGCGCAGTGTGTGTTCATAGAGCGCGTGCACGTTATCGAGTGGTAGTGGTGTTGTTGTTGACTTAGACTTGGGGCGCACCGCTGTCACTTGTCTCTGCCGCTGCCGCTGCCGTTGCCGTTGCCGCTGCCGTCGATATTGGACACTTGTTGACAATTCTGAGATACATTGGCGCTCTCTCCTGCTCTTTCTCTCATTCTCTCGGCTCACCACACCAACAATACAACTCATTCGATCGCATCGCAATCCCAATCATGCATTCACACACTCACACACACGCATGCACGCGAAAGAGATAACCGGCATACACGTACATGCTCGCACATCAGTGAAATTAAAATTGTATTTGTAACATTGGAGCGGTGGTATGAGCAAATGAGCAATGCCAGTAGCAATCGCAATAGAAGTGCGATAGTGTGTGAAATGATCGCGCAACTCCCAACGATTGGAAATAAATCATACAAGTATGTATGTACACATGTATGTGCTTGTATGTACATGTGTACATATGTATGTATGTGCAACCAATTTTGTGGGTTCCAGATAAACTGTAGGGTCCCAAACATTTTGCCCGCATTCGTAAAGCACGTCCTCCATACATTATATACTTACACTCGTATATAGTACTATACATACATAAGTACCAATGAAAGTTTTAGAACTGAGCCAGTTAAATAGTTTCGAATTTGTGTGATAATTTACCTTGGTATATGAGTTAAATTCTAAATACATGCATACACACATACTTACATACTATGTACACTACATTTACTAAACAATTAATGTAATTCTTTTTTATTTTTTTTATTATTTATTTATGTCAACAAACATTGACTGTCGACATAGGCAAAATTATAAAAAGCATCTTATAAGCTAGAAAAGCCTAAGACGGAGAAATCTAATCAAATTACAATAATATCTAATTAACGCCTCCGACCCGGTGGGGGAATATTATTTGCCCATCGGCTAGCTGTGCCCCGTCTCACAGCCAAGTGTGGTCAGAGGCGTCAATAGATCTACCGATATAAAAAAAGAAAAACTTAACAGAGAGAAGATGCTTAGAATCACGTAAAAGCTAATTTTAAAAAGAAAAAAGTGAGAAAAAAAAATTTTAGAATCTTAGACCCGGTGGGGGAAGATTTTTTAGCCAGTCCGGCAAGCTATGCCCCGCCTCACAGCCGATCCTGGTCAGAGATTCCGTAGGCTGAAAAGAGAGGCTTTTATTATAGGAAGAGACAGTTCAGTTGAGAGTAATTGAAAATACTCATTATAAGATGAGCATAAAACCCGAAAAGGATTGTGTGATGCATAATGAGTTGTACACCTACTAAGAAAAAGGGGAAGATAATTCCTTTTCGTTCTGGAAGGAACTGAGAAATTAAGACGACCTAAAAGGAAAGGAGAATCAACACTACCGGCACTCAGTCCTCCGATTAGCCAATGACGGAAGATTAATAAGCAGAAGTTTAAGCCGCGAAGAGCAAAAAGAAGGAATTGTTTCTGAACAGACTCAATTCGATCCTGATGCGTTTTGCACTGCGGGACACCAAACGCATGAGCAGTATTCTAGAATAAGCCGTACCAGTCAATTGTAAAGTAGTTTAGTGGCATAGGGAACATCAAATTCTTTGCACCAACGTTTAACGAATCGAAGAACGCCCTTAGCCTTGTTTATGATACAAGAAATGTGAAGATTGAAATTCAATTTAGAGTTCTTGGTGTTAATAGTTGGGTAAATTCATAAAACAGAAAATTCAAATATGTACGTCTTAATACACTGTTTTTAAATCTACTTGTATATTAACAGTTTAGTGACTTTTTTAATCCGATTCAAACTAAACTTTCATTAAATGTTTCCTCGAGTAGGTACATTAGATAATACTTCATATACGATATGCTGAATATAATCCAGCTATCTTGCTAGTTCTCGGCTAGTTAACTCAAGCATAGGCTTACGGATTTTGCATGAATAATGCGAATATCTGAGACTCTTTTTTTTAGTATTTCGAGGGCCTGACTGTTGGCATGAAAATCACCAGTTAATGCGGCGCCAGAACATAACACTCTCTTACCAATTTTTACCTCCAGAGGATTCCTTCTGCACATTTAATTAGTCTAGATTAGGTTGGAGTCGTAAGGCTATCATAAACTGGTTGAAATTGACCTACAACTATTATAGACTGCTCGGGGTTATCAGGCACTGAGAATTGGGAATTGAGAAGTGGGTGAAGCGTTTTAAAGACTCAAAAAAGTCTATGTTCTTCCAAATCATGGGAAAACAATGAGGGCTTTAAAAAAAGACGAATAACTGATTTTGGCCATATTTTGAAGGAATCCCTTCTTATCCTTGCGTCAAGAACAAATAAAATTGCGGCAAAAGGGATTTGATTTGATTTGACTATCCAGGAATATAAGCCCGCAAATAATGTGAAATGGCGAATCACAATGAAAAATCAATGTTGCCTAAAAAACACGTCAAAAAACGTTCCGCATGGGCAATTGATAATGTTGACCGCAACTGGAGGATTGACCATCACAGTCCCCGGATGTCATTCCAATTCGAAATGTTTGGACATTTATAAAGCATACGTTTCAGGGAAAACGACTATGAGCTCTTCAGCAACTTTTCCGTCATTCGACATTATTCTTGTACATACTTGTATGAATAAAATCTGTGCTTTTGACCAATTGCGCAAACTTGTTTTGTTTTTTCGACAAAATAAAGATAGAAACAATAATGATATGCCAACAACGATCCGCATTCGAAAGCAACGCACTTCCATATCTTCTGATTGCTGGCAGTTGAGACACAGGGTCAAATGGGGAAAGCTCAATCTTTTCAAAAGTAATTTACCTTATGTCAGATTTCTACTTAAAATGAAAGCAAATATTCTGTTGCTAGAAGCTGGTCAAGTCCAAAATGTTCAGCGAAGTGTTGGCGAAATATCTGTGACCCGAGAATCTGTTGGGGTCATCGAAACTAGCGAAGCGATAAGTAGGGAGCGCAGTTGACTTCATAGAGAGTAAGTTAAGTTGTCTTATGGAACACTCATTTCTATTATTTATACTTGAAAATATAGCTCAAAAGATATTAATGTATAATACTGCGGGTAAACTATTTATAGGAAATTAATTATAGTGCTTGCTGATAAATGGCTTACCATTTAGCTGACGCTATCTCGAATACTCGGAAAAATGTTTAAAGGGTAGCCACTAAAAGAAGAAACATCCATGATGAGGCCTGTGTTTTCAAAGTAATATGGGACTCTAGTATATAGTATCTGAAATCTGTAATAACAAGAAAATAATGCTAAAGTCGAGCAAGCTCAACTCTTAAATACCCTGTACATCCCACCAAAAAGGAAAAAATGAAAAAAATTTTATAATAATTAAAAAAAGGTATATTAATTAAATTATTTCATTAAATTAAAGACATGTTCATGTACAGTTTCAACAGCATACATTTACATCTACTACGGGAGTTATGGAAAAAAACAGGAATTGCGGGGGAGTGGGGGGTGTATCAGAATAAAAAAATAAACTTGACCTGCCTAGTGCTTATGGGAATCTGGATATCGAGTTTGGTTATTCTATCTCTTGTACCTTCTGAGATCCTTGCGCTCATACAGACGGACGGACGGACAGATGGACGGACGGACAGACGGATATGGCTATATCGACTCGGCTTGTCACCCTGATCAAGAATATATATACTTTGTGGGGTCTGCCACGCCTCCTTCTCCCTGTTACATACATTCGCACAAAACTAGTATAGCCTTTCACCCTTTGGGTACAGGCTATAAAAATTAATATTTTGCTTATAATGAACTGAAGAAATAAACTATGATAAGAAAACAAACTTAGAAATAAACTGAAAAGGGTAACAAGTCGTCACTAATCTAATCTAAATCTAATCTTAACAGGCCAACAAGTTTACAAATAAGAAATTGTTTTAAAAGCATAAAGTTTCTATGACAGTTGCATGGCCAGTCTCGATACCTCTAAACTGAAGTAGTAGCGATTAGAACAGGCAAAATCTTAACTTAACGAACAAAACTTTGACAAAAATACCAAAATATCACTTTAAGCTCCAAAATATTGAGATATTGAGAGACTATTGTTGGATTTTGTTAAATAAAAAAGGCAAATAAAGAATTCATATTCTGTGGCTGCAATAGAAAACAGTCCGCTACTATTCCCTTAAAGACATGCAAAATACAATACAAGTCACCGAAAACAAAGAGCAAGAGGAAGCTATCACGATGTAGAACTCTTTTTATGTTATATGTAATTCTATACGATTTTTGATTGTAGGGAGTTGTACAGTTGTGCCATCACAACTGCAACATTGTGTTTTGATGTAAATTTCAGTATTATGTTTTTTCAGACGTTCATATCTTTAAAATTATACATACTTGCTAAAATTAGAAGCTGAAAATGTTACAGACCTCCCACCGATTTACGCAGATCTCAACCCAAACAAAGCTTTTTGGGACAAACATATTTGTGCGAGTGTCAAAGAACTTGAACCATCGGCTAACACAATAAATTCTAGGGAAAGAAAATATGTGTAGTACATTTTTATACCCTGTACCCAAAGTGTAAAAGGGTATACTAGTTTTGGGCAAATGTATGTAACACAAAGAAGGAGACGTGACAGAACCCAAAAAAGTATATATATTCGTGACCAGGGTGACAAGTCGAGTTAATATAGCCATGTCCGTCTGTCTGTCCGTCTGTATGAACGCAAGGATCTCAGAAAGTATAACAGCTAGAATATCCAAACTTGGTATCCAGATTCTCCTAAGTTCGAGAAAGGACGAGTTTGTGTTCTTTTTCTGATGCACCCTCCTACTCCCACGCAATTCGTGTTTGTTCCCATAATTTTTGGAATTTTGTACTCAGATTTGGCAAATACCTTCAGATAGTGATTATGTGCATATATGCATACATCATGATAGGTCAATTAGGAAGACAGTTATCGCCATAAACCGAATCTCTGCTGAAGCTCTGCACAAGCTCTGCCGACAGCTGTTGTTGTTGTTGCTGCTTTGACTTATTTCTTTACGCAAGAACGCATAGACACTATTCGGATGTAAATGTATACTGCTGCAATTATACATAAACACTTATGTGTGTATGCATGTGTTAAACATTTTATATTTCATTTAATTAATTAATGAACCAAAGCCCTTATCTTTTATATGTTTAAATGTGATTACCACTGAGAAATTTATTTTCGAAAGAGTAACTGAAAAATATGGGTTATATGAAAAATTACGAGAACAAAAAAAACGGTTCATTGGTCAAAAAATCAAAAGAGTGGTGTGCCTAGTTCATTGATTATAAGTGTATATACACAAGTCCAATCAACTTTTCATTATTACTTAAGACGATTGACTCACAGCATTTCAACAGTACATCAACATAAAACATTTCTATGCATATTTGTATATGGGTATGGACATATGTGCATATATACTCGTACATGTAATTAGAGCCTCCCTATACGCTCCCATTTGCTTAATGTTGATTTCTATGAAGACAATTTCATGAATTGCTGAGATCTGCCATAAGCAGTGCTGCCAATTTGGCTTTTGTTCCGTCAAATCTGGTTGTTTTTGAAATGAGATTGCGTGAAAATATTCGAAATTGCGAAAAGCGGGAAATTGGAATATGAAACATGGCACTCGTGTCCACGCAGTGCAGCTATGTGCCAAGAGCAATAAATAGCACCGATTTTTCCTATCTCTGTTTGTGTCCGTGAGTGTGTCACTGTGTGTGTTTATGAAATGTTTAATACTTCGCACTCTTTGTTATTTATTGTTATTATTTATTTATTTATTAAAAAACATATTTCTATATTTCGAAAATCGTTGAATGCCAATTTGTAGATATAGTTATGTTGATTACGGATACCAAATTTGAAATCGATCGGACAACATTTATAACAAAAGCTTTACATTTGAAAAAAATTTAAGAAATATTAAAACCCTAATAATTTAAGCTTCAAGACCAATTTAAAACAAGAGAGAACGCAACAGTCCAGCAAGCCCGACAGTGTAATACCCTGTACCCAGGTAAACTTCCGTCACTGAGTTATATGCGCCCAAAGCAGCAGCAAAAAGAGGAAGAAGAAGAGCGAACTTGTTGCTGCAGTTTGGGGGGGTTGTACTGGCCAGAACTTGTTTCGCTAATAACTTTTCTTAGAATTGACCAAATTTAATACAATTTTGAACAACATGTGTGCAAAGTTTGGTTTAGGTAGCATTTGAAATGTGGACGCTATTGACGAAATTCTGTAGCGGTGGAAGGGGGGGAAAATTAAAAAATAAAAAATTAACTCGTCCTTTCTCGGACCTAGGAGAATCTGGATGCCAACTTTGGTTATTCTAGCTTTTATAGTTTCTGAGATCCTTGCGTTCATCCAGACGGACGGACGGACGGACATGTCTAGATCGATTTCTCTCGTCATGCTGATTCAGAATATATATACTTTATGGTGTCGGAGATGTTTCCTTCTGCATGTTACATACTTTGCACAAACCTAATATACCCTTTTTACCCTACGGGTACAGGGTATAATGATAATAATAAAATTACTATATATCCAAAAATAATTGGAAGCTTGGAAGTCAACGAATTCGGTATTCGCATTGCAAAGTCTCCTTGGACTTATATGTAGTTGCGATCAACGCATAATTAAAATAAATGTAAAAAATGTTGATTGAAAATAAAATAAAAAGAAACGAGGTATTGATTCCGACCAACATCTTAAAATCAAACTTTCACGAACAAAAAATAAATGTTCAGAAAATAATTAAACAATATAAAATAGAACAAAAACAGATCTTAAATGTACATAGCCAACTTGCGAAATTGCCCAACCTGGTGAAAGCCCCACTTTCACAAACATAAAATAAATATTCAGAAAATAATTAAAGAATATAAAATAAACAGAATATAAGCAGAAACATAACTTAAATGCGTGAATTGTTGTGGGTACAACAGCCAGCACTAGACTGAATATTTTCAGCACCAGAGGGGGTCAAGCATTTTTGTCAACAAATTCAGAGCCTGCTTGAATGTCGAAGGATACCTCTCGACATCAGAAATGGATGTGCAATGTTTCTCAGCAGTTGCGTGACACGCAGACGGATTACATCATGTACTACCATCGCAGCTACCTGCGCCAATTGAAGCGACTAGAGGCGGATGAGGATATTGATGGGCTGAAGTTAGTTCATTCCCTATTGCATGTGAGTATTGAACGAAGATGTTTAAGTGGCTTCTCAATTCGGATCACCATTTTCCGACCCTTCAGGTTTCAGATCTGGCCACCAGCTTCTTCGTTAGCGCCGGCTATATATTACAATTCGCTAACAATTTGCTTGCGTTCCACGCAAAACTCAAGATGAGACAGGAAGGTATTGGGAAGGTGCCGACTACTTGTATGATGAATTCGAGGGTGTTCCCTCAATCTTTTACGACAATGCGACAACCTTGATGCACTTTCGCCTTATTAAATAATAAGAATTATTATTAATAATAATAATAATACCGTTACATTATTAAATTAGCTTTGCATGAGTGCTTGGGTAGTTGTTATCCACTAACAATATCGATTCAGGTTTCGGGTTCGGTCTGGTTAACATAACTTTTTTTAATGTATTATAATGTTATTTCCAATTGCGATTCCACTTGTCACGGTGATGCTGTAACAGATCTCTTAAGGAAATGCTGAGAGTGCCACACATTTGGCAAAACAATGTTTTACATCCTTTTCTTATAATTTCAATGTGTTAATTGCTATCACAAACGGATATAAATACAAACAAAATACAAAGTATTCCACAAAGTAGTATATAGTTCCTCGAATAGGAACCGTACACAAGTTATAAAACATGAAGGAAAAATATCGATTCGTTGTCATTTTCATCCATTTCTTGGTCTTGCAAAATAACGTATTTTGATAGACATTTGTATATCCTGTACCCGAAGGGCAAACAAGAAAGGAATGCTAGAAAAAAATGGAAAAAACATTTTTTCAATTAATTAAAAAAAATTATATTAATTAAATTATTTAATTTAATTAAATACAAATTAATCAATACGTACAATACATATACACAATGCAATACATAAACGCAGAAAGAGGCGTGGCAGACACCACAAAGTATATACATATGTATGTACTTGTATGTATATTCTCGATAAGGATGGCCAGGCGAGTCGCTATAGCTACATATATCCGTCTGGCCGTCTGTCCGCTATTTACAACAAAAGGATCTCAGGAGGTACTGCCATAAGTCTTGAAATTTGTTACTCAAACTTGGCAATTACTTCCAGTTAGTGCTTATCTGCTCTCATATCAGGCTTTCGTTTTATATTTGAATATAGTACATTTCTACAACTTGCAAGCGTTCCTCGGGCGTGATTATTTCTCTATAAATAAAAATAACCTTTCATTTATGAAGACATTGTATGCTAATTGGATTAATGTAGCAAAGCTTTAGTCAGATTGGTCTTCCATATAATAAGCTGCCAATGGATAAATAAATAGATCTCAGTCGTTTCTATATGTATGTACATACGTATCGGTACTACTTCAAAACGACTGAGTAAATTATCAGTCAACGTCAAACCTAGATAAACATTCAAAGTCCCAGCCGAACAAAGTTGGGTATTGGCCAGTACAGTCAATTAAGCAAGTAACGAACACACGTATTTTTTTTCAGTAGAAAATAGTCATAAATGCTGTTTAGGTGTATGATTGCAACAGTCTACAGACCTAAACATATACAAAAACTATATAGATAGGTTTCATTCGGCTAAAGTTTCTTACAGCGCCGGTTAAATAAACTGATTCTGTTCATAAAACACCAGAGAGGTGTTTCACTGTATACATATGTACTTGTATGTATGTATGTATGTATATGCACTTAAATCTGTACGTATACAAACAGATGTGGGAACGTGTGTATATTCGTTTGTATGTACAAATGTATATACATATGTACATATGTATGTATATCGATTCGGCGGCCAAATATCATGCCTTAAGTACTATCGCCCAAGACCAAGGGGAATACACACTTGCTCACAGAAATTCCAATAGAATGGAATAAATTTGCTTCGAAAGTGGGAGAGTGATTTGGGCTGGGAGCGGCCAGTGTAGGCCCGCATATCTCAGGGATGCCAACAATTCCACATACATATGTACATACTTACATACATACACATTATCAAGATATACATACATACATACATACTCGTGTGTACATACATATTTGAGCGATTCCCAGATCTGTCTCCAGTTACATTTAGACCCTGGCTTGTAAGCCAGCGTCTGAGATAGAAGACTAGGAGCGCATACTTTATTAAATTGGAGCCAGGTGAGATGAGCCAATGGGAGCCCTGGTTGTGTGGGCCTGGCATTTTTGAAAATTCCAAAAAGAAACAATACAGTAACAATAGCAACAACAACAACAAAGGGGCCAGAAAAAGAGCAATGTAAACAAAGCAAAAAAAAAAACAAACGCTCATTCCAAATTACCCGATGATGAAGTCAATTGTTGTATACAATAAAAATGTTGTTGTTCTTTCTGCTAGTGTTGTTGTCGTTGTTGTTGCTGTTTTCCTTTTCCAAACTTTTCGGTTCTCGCCTTTTTTTTTATATGCTAGTGTAAATTTTAGTTTAGTACAAAAACGGCGCGAACGTGAGCGCGTCATAGTTTTGAATCGACGTGTTCAGTTCGGCGTGGAAAGGCTCTGGAAAAAAGGTGAAATATGGCCTCGTTCACGCCCACCGATCCCCTGATCCGCTGGACAGGGCGCGCAGTGGAGCTGCAGAAAATGGCGCGGGAGTGGCCCGGCGAGGACGATAGCCACATTGGAGGTGCTGTGGCGAATAAAACCGGTGCCATGAACGAGCTATTCGAGGGCTACTCAGACGAGTTGCTGACTTTCGCATGGGTGGCCTGCATTGTATTTATTATAATCGGAGTGCCGGGAAATCTGCTGACCATTGTGGCACTTTCACGAGGCAGACAGACGCGCAACTCGACGGCCATATTTATTATTAACTTATCCTGCTCCGATTTACTGTTTGGCTGCTTTAACCTGCCACTGGCCGCCTCTACTTTTATGCAGCGTGCATGGAATCACACCGATCTTCTCTGCCGTCTCTTCCCCCTACTGCGCTACGGTCTATTAGCCGTCTCACTGCTTTCGGTTTCGCTGATCACCATCAACCGCTACATAATTATAGCCCATCCGCGCCAGTACCCACGGTAGCTCTATTCCCAGACTACACCAATCCCGAATCGCGGCCCCTTTAACCTCAATTTCTGCTCGTTTCGTTGCCCCTCTAGCATCTACCAACGCCGCTATCTGGCGCTCATGGTCGCCGGGACATGGGTGACGACATTCTCCATAATGATACCAACATGGCGCGGTATCTGGGGACGCTTTGGCTTGGACGTAAGCATTGGCTCTTGTTCCATTCTGCATGACAAATATGGGCGGTCCCCCAAGGAGTTCCTCTTCATCATAGCTTTCATGTTGCCCTGCGTATGTATCGTCATCTGCTACGCACGCATCTTCCTGCTGGTACGCCAAGCGGCCATGCGAACCAGAGAGCGAGATCCCGAGAGAACGACCGCTAAGAGCTGTGGCGAATTGTCACTATCCCCAATGCAGACGCCCAGGATACCTTCCGAGGATGCCCCTCCCGCAAAACCAAAGCCAATATCCGATGTGACCGGTCCCTTTGTCGTGGACGAGTCTTTGGCATATATTGATGACAATGCCTCGTTGGAGAGTCTGCCTATATCCTACAAGATCCAGGTAAACTCCACTTTATGTTTCGGCTTTACACATTTGTAACTGATCTATTCGACGTGCAACAGGGGACGTCAGCTCCGCCCGTTACATCCGTAGATGCGCACGTAGTCTTGAAGGACAGAGATCGTGATAGAAGCAAAAAGCGCAGTACCAATAATACCTCTGGAACCGACACCTCTGTGGACAGATCACACTCGTTACTGGAACAGGCGAGAAGCACGTATGTAAATAGAACAGCCACACTCTTTGAGACACTCAATTCATCGTCCTGTTTTTTACATCCCCCAACATCCACAGGAGCAAAAACCCTATCACGACCTCTTTGCGCACATCCTTTACGAGGTTCACTCCAAGAAAGTCCCACTACGTATCGATGGGTAATACATCCAACGCATCTTCCATATATCCGGGCCGAATGAGTGCCAAGGATAGACGTCTACTTAAAATGATTCTTGTTATCTTCGTGTGGTTCGTCATTTGCTATTTGCCGATTACAGTAGCGAAGATATGGAAAAGTGCCAACGATGTACATGTATTTAACATCATGGGCTACCTGTTGATATACCTAACGACTTGCATTAATCCATTAATCTATGTTCTCATGAGCTCGGAGTATAGACGTGCGTACTGGAATTTGCTGCGCTGCCACAAATCGGATCAGCAACAGCAAATGGGTCCGAAGAAAAATCACATCGATTCGAATCGTTTAATGAAGACGTGATCGTTGAGAGCCCAATATATACATATAGTACATTCATGCATGCCACGAGACACATGCAACACTTGCCACACATGCCCATCGGCCATCCGTCCCAGCTGGAAGAACACCAACAAACCCGCCCATGTGCACTTACATACATACATTTCTGTGAATACATATACGAGTACATACAAGTATGTATGTACAAGTATGTTCAAGTCCAGGTGCAGTTCAGGACCCCAAGTGATTGCTTTTGACCGTTATCCTCGCCGCGGAGAACGGTGCCTTGCCCAGGGGCTAAAGTGAATTTGAATTGCATTTTATACCAAATGACTTTACTCGTAATATCTGGTTTACAATTGTATTCCATATTAAAGAACAATCGATGTTTGCTTGTTGCTAATTATTGTACCAATACCAATGCCAATAAATGCTTTGAATAATTGATATACATACATACTATGTACGTTTGTGTGTGTGTGTGTGTGTGTGTGTGTGTGTGTCTTGGTGTGTGTATCTGTGTTTGTGTGTGTGTGTGTGTGGGTGTCTGTGCTCGTAGATTGTTGACCCATAACGTCGAACAGCTGAGTGTTCAATTTGGAACTGGCCGACAAAGATTAATCGACAACTGTCATTGAACACAAGTAGTTTTCCAATAATTGACGTAATATACTGATTTTCTTATAAGTATTTTTAATCGCGTCTGCATGGTCTTTAGTGTGCACTCACGTATGTATCCATTCATGCGGCGTATGAAACTTTGACTACTTAAATCTAGTAACACAACTATTTATGTATTGTATGTAGGCATGTAATGTAAGTATGTTTCTTTATGCCCCACTAATAATGGCAAATTTGTATAAATAATTATGTATAAACCACACTTTAGTAAATATTGTATGTACGAATGTGTGTGTTTTCGTATGTATGTCTGTATATACATATGTGTATACCTAAGGTATGCAGACAGAGGTATGTATGCATGTATGTACTATATGTGCCTGTACATACACATACATATGTACACACATACACACGAGCGCAGTGAAAGTAGCGTAAGCGTAACATTCACACAGACTCCAAGTGCTCAGAGATCTCCAGTATCGGGCTCTCGCTCAGCGGTTTTATGACAGTCTGCCAATTGGGCGTGAATAGACTCAGTACTGGTGTGGATGTCTGCAAGAACAAGAACGAAAACGTAAGAATACGTTAGTTGGTAAACGACGTACAGGATTCAGCAGTGAAGCGGTATACTCTAACAAGTTCAAAATGTAAAAGGCAACAAATTAGGGCTGAACAAGAAAGGAATGCTAAAGTCGAGCGAGCTCAACTCTTAAATACCCTGTACCTCCCATCAAAAAGGAAAAAATGCAAAAAAAAATTAAGTAAAAAAATTAAAAATTTTAAAAAATTATATTAATTAAATTATTTAATAAAATTAAATACAAAATTTTCAATACATATATACAAAAGTGCAGGCATGTTCATGTACAGTTTCAACAGCATACATTTACATCAGAATCATGCCTTTGCGCGTTTATATGCGTGTTGTATGCAGCACATGGTTGAACCAAAGCAGCAACAACAGCTGCGGGCAGCGCTGCGGTCGCTGTACCTTTGGGTACAAGCTACTTGTATAAAAGCCCTACGCAATATAACGACACGAATCGATAAACTATAGGCAGACAGTATGATAGTCCCTGCACATCAACTTCTTTTACACCATCATAGCAAGGGACACAAAGCTTGTCGTATAAACTCTTGTATCTACTACATATAAACTACATATGTATGTACATATGTCCATAATGGCTGACAAAGGAACAAGTTGGTACAAAAATCACCATAAGCTTGATTACTTTTTATATAGTGTGATTTTTTGGACTCCCCTGTTTTCTGCTACATCGTATTTTGTTGTTTTGCTTACATGATAGTGTGCCCCTGGTGGCGATGCAGAGGCCGTGTCCTCGGCGCTAACCTGATGTGTCTGGTTCCACGTATCCATTGATGTGTGGTTGCTCACCATTGGTTTGCATTTCGTTGCCACGGGCGTAGAGGGCGTGCAGGGCGCCGGACCAGCAGCAGTAGCACTAGTAGCAGCACTACCCATAGCACAACCTGAGGATACTGGAGTTCCAGGCTGCCCCATTGGGGCTCTTGGGGTTACGTCTTGAGCCGGTTGATTGATATAGGAGGTTTTCAAATTCATCTGGTTGTAAGGGCTTGGAGCCGGCCCCGGTGTTGTTAGTGAGTGCTGCAGCCTAGGTGTGCCACTTCTAGGGCGATCTAGCAGGCTAAAATCATACAGATCGTCTACCATTTGCTGCTCCAGGGCTGAATTGGACGTCATCGAGGTAATCGGCGCATGAAAGCCGACTGCCGCACCAATCTTATAGTTATTGGCTTGATGGTGGCGGCCCAGTTGGGCCTCTAAGGCATACTGCTTCTGGAACAATTGACGTTTTTGCTGCTGTTGCAATAGTCGGTGCTGCAGCAATTGTTGTTGTAGCGGCGCTTTCTGCATTGGTGAGAGCACGTTCAGATGATGGTAGAGACCCGACGAGACCTCTGGGATGCGTGGTGCAGGGGGTGCACTATAGCAAGCGCCGGCTTCGTAGCGTCCTACATGAGCACCATAAAGATCGTTGCCGGGTTCAAAGCTCTCGGTTGCACGCAGAAGGAGCTGCACTGTGGCCGGTGGCAGTGGAGGTGGTGGTGGCAGTGTAGGAACGTGCACGTATCCTGCTGCTGCTGCTGCCGCCGATGCAGCATGCTGATGGTGGTACATATGGGGATTAGCATGCTGTTGATGGTGGTGATGATGGTGATGGTGTGGTGGTGGAGGCAGAACCACCGAACCAGGCGGATGTGCCAACTGCGGCCCCTGCAAGCCATGTTGGTGGGCATGCGAGTGAAGACCGTGCGACTTATGGTTGGCATTGGCGCTGGACATCGTGTAAAATTGACCGTGTGGGAATTGACTGCTATTTAAATCGTCGTGCGGCGTGAGTAGATTGATGGGCGCGTACGTTGGTGGTTGTTTGAGCGTGAAGGCCTCCTGTTGCAGTTGTTGGATCTCCAGCCAGCCATGTCGCTTGGCATCGTAGCGGTAACTTCCATACACACGGCTGGCATTAAGCAACGACGGCGAGCTCAGCAGACCCTGAGCTACAAGTCCGTCACTGGCGCGGCGGCCTTCCCTGCAAGGAATACAAAAAGTTAACACACTTGTTCGCCCACAAATGATACGTCGTGCATTGTGATTGAATAATATAATAGTGGTGTAAAATTGTAAAGTGCATACGTGTACATGTATTCGTAAAGAGGGACACACCTAAAATGAATAGGCGAGCGCTTGTCCGCGAATGAAGCTGGTGACATTGCCGCAGCTAGGGCAGGTGGCGGCGGTGTGGTTTGCACTCCAGCCCCACCCATGCTGAGTGGATGCGGACGTGTGGCTGTAGCTGTGGATGCGGCTGCAGCTGCAGATGTGCCCCCCACCACACTGGGCATGTGAATGCATGAGTTGTGGCTGCTGTAAAGTGATCGATCCGAAGAGTGTTCGCTGCCACCGGCAGCCGCAGCTGCAGCCGCCAGCATGGAGTTACTCATGCAAGAGGGTAGGCTACCGGCAATGTCAGCGACCGCACCATGCGGCAGTACGAAATCAATGCTCTCATAGGCGGAGCAGTTGCTTTTGGAGGAGCCACGGCTAAGGTTCTGGCTCAGGCTCTTCGAGTAGCTACCTGCCAGAACGCCACTGGAACTGCTGCTACTGGCATATGAGCGCATGCGCGCCGTCTGGGCCATCGTTAGGTCCGTGGACGACTGCGAACCGTCCTTTGTTTCGTTGCCTTGGTCGGTTTCGCAGCCCTCGTCCGTGCTGGAACTTCCCTGAGTAAGCACTTTTTTCTCAAATGACTTTTTCTCCTGTTTCCCTTTCGTCTGCATATGGCTTCTGGCCTGCGCTACGCCGCTAAAAGTTTAAGAGGAAGATGAAATTAGGTATAACGCACCTCTATCATCCATCATCAGTAACTCACACGTCGCCATTCGGCTGCAGCTCGTCATGCAGGGGCTGCTGCACTTGCAGTTCGTGGTTTTTGGTTTCGTTTAGACTTCCGTTTATTATCGTTGTCGATGTCGTTGTCGTTGTAGTTGTTGTTGTCGTTGTCGTTAATTCAGCTTTCTTTGTTGGTTTCTGACGAAGAAAAGTGCGTTTCGAGAATTTTGGGAGACCAACAGCGGTTAATCGATGAAAAATACTCACGTCTATTGGCAATGGACTTTCCTGTAAGGTTTGAAAGAGCTTAGTAGCTTCTGCAGACATCTTAAAGCGAAAGCTCTGATTCAGATTGGTTGTCGAGTCGAAGCTCGTAGAGCTTGACATTGGTTTTATTGTCTTGTTGTCAACAGCTCGCTCTGCATAGCCTTGGCCATGCATCTTGTGATGTTGATGTTGATTGTCCTCATCTGGGTCACATATCTCCGCGGAGCGCTGCTGCTTGTTGGGTTCTGCGATGGCAGTGGCCTGAAGTAATCGTGGGGAAATAATTACACAATCACTTGCACAATGGGCCCTACACTCACCTGTTGGAGCAACAGGCGGCAGTCCTCAGTGCTCTGCTTAATGATGTAATCGCTAATGGTTTGGTGCAGTTGCTTATGCGTCGGAGGCGCATGATTTTGATTAACCGCCGCGGTTACGTTTTGAGTAGAGGCCAGCAGTATTTCCCGGCCTTTTAAATTTGATAACGATGGCGGCTTTCCGTTATTGTCGATGCTCAGTGAAGCGACGATGGGACGATGGCCGCCGCTTAGGTTGCTAATGGTACTTAAATTATGCCGACTTAATTTAGACGAATTTGTTGTGGACGCGTACGCGGTATTTACGGCGCCCGGCAGTGAGTGCAGAGGTGTGTAGCGACTGGGAGAAGGTAGTCCGCTACTGTCCTTGGGGATTAGGGCCATGCCCTCGCCGTTGTATCGCTGATGATGATCGTTCGCAAACGAGGCACCGGCCCCCACTGGTCGCTGCTGGGATGCATAATATGGGTCGGCAGTGGCTGGATTCGCAGCAGCACTAGCACCAGGCCCAGTAGCGCGTTCACTCATTAAAACAGTCTGATGTCGGCTAAGTCTTATAAGTTGTTGATCCTTGGCTAGAATCGTGGTGGATATTGTCTTCTGTTGCTGCTCACTGAGTAGATAGTGGGTTGCCTTATGAGGTGACGTGGATGCAGTCGGTGTCCCGGCACTCATCGGCAGAGATACGGGTAGAGGAAAAGGCAGAGCCAGAGGCATGTGTTCCACAGCAGCTTGCTTGGTTTGTTTGTAAAGTAAGCGAGTTGAAGCACCTCCTGTTCCTGCCCCAGGTGCGGCCGATAGCTTGTTTGCAGGTGGCTCTACCAATGCGGTTGCGACCTGCTTTGAAGCTTGTTCCAGTGCAAACTTTTTGTTACTCACACGGTCCTGAAGTAGCAAGTATATGGCCGCAACGTGATCGTATGTGTTTTTCTTCAGACTTGCCCTTGTTTTTTCCGGTCCTATCCCCACATACTCCGACATGATGCGCAATATATCTTCATTGGGCTCCAAGATAGCGTTGCGCTCAACTTTCATATTATATTTAGCAATGATAGCATGGTCCAGAAGTTCGGGACACATCCAACGATGATTCTTAATTTGCTCGATTGTGTAGCGACGCGTTGGCTCCAGGACAAGCATTCGGCGAATGAGGTGTTCGCATTCTGCGAAAATATCAAAACATGAATAACTAGGTTACCTATCGTTTGTACCTCCAAAGGGTACATATATCACCGTGGACGACAGTTCATTGTAATACACAGAAGGGATGGTAGACAACATCTGTATACAAATATGTCCGCCTGTCTGTTTTAATCACTTCTCCTTTATAAGGCTGATTATAATTTCGAGACCGACCACGTTAGATCATTACATCATATGGCTATCATAGGAAAAATATGATTTCAACAGAGTTTTTGTATGACAACAATTTGTGTTATTGGAACCAAGTAGAAAGTTATTCACTGTTGACCAGACACAGTACAGTTTATCTGTAGTTCGCGGCCCATCACTATAAAGGAATACAATTGTTGTTGTAAAGTACAGGGAAGGGTATATTTGTATCTTCACTGGAGAGAAAGATAACTTCTTAGCCTAGCAAATAAAGACACATTTGGTTTAAGCAGATCACCAACAATCTTTACTGATTCGGTGCGCATTTCGTATATGCAGACCAGATACGTTTCAATGCTATTTATCGAAACTATATACATACATATGAATGTCTGTATGTATTTTCAGTCAAATTTAAAATTAGGGTTAAATGGGAGTGCTACATTTAATAATTAACTCTGAAGGGTATTTTCAAAATGAGATCTATTTCGGTGTATTCGGTAATGTAAATAGAATAGAGTGCTGGGATTGCTGAAAAAAAACTAATACTACTTTCTACTTTCTCGGGCTTAGGAGAACCTAGATACAAAGTTTGATTATTCTACTTCTTAAGCTTTCCGAAATCCTTGGTTGGTCTTACTTATTAAAAAAATATATATAATGTATACCCTTTCGTTAACAGGCAATTTTACAAACAGCTATGCTTCCTTTTCTAAACATAATACATATTGTTATGGATTTTTTTGGACAGAACTATTACCCGATATCACTGGTTTGTGTACGATCATATCACTAAGGGTTTTCTCACAATAACATTTGGTTATAAGTCTTTGCAACACATTGTAAGATGTATCGTCCAATCGTTCTTTGTGCTTCGTAAAACATTAACATTGGGAAGCTCTAAGTTGTCGAACTATAGTTTTACTTTCATCTACAAATGTGTGACCCGTTGAAAAACTGACATTTTTTCATGTTGGGGATATAATACGCAAAAGTTTTGCGTTTGCGATTTGGCCTGTAGCTATATAGAATATTAAGGGCCTGCTTTCTGTAAATCATAGTCTGCGCATGGGTTAGATGAGTTTACAGGCTTGGTGTTGTGTCCCTAGCTATTATAATTAGCTCAAAAGATCTCGATGTTCAGGCGAGATCTGACACGGCTCCCTCTTCCAATCACATACATGCATACTATTTTTTTTACCCTTCTGGTATAGGGTATACCATATACATAAATATATAGGTTTATTGTGAAGTTGCAGGTTCAAGCAAACAGTGGTTTAATGATGCACATGTTGTGTTCGGATCCCTCCATGAGTTAAAATTGCATTTATATAGTCTTTCAAAGCACCCATATCTGATATTAAAGTCTAGCAATTTGAAGTGATATAATAGGACATCATGAAGACTTAAAAATTGTAATACAACTTATTATTGTTACTATTGTAAATGTTAATACACCCATTATACAAGTGAATTGAAATACTAGCTTACCTGATGACATAAAAAATGGTATTCGGAAACGACCGGAGAGCACACGATCCCGCAGACTTTGAAGCGTTGACCCATCAAAAGGAAGGGCACCACAAACGAGTACGTACAGCACAACGCCGAGAGACTGTGGATAAATCGGATGTGATGAAGATTCAGATGGGATATTTTAATATATTTATTATGTGGTGCGTACCCAAATGTCGATTTCGGGCCCGGTGTATTGCTTCCCCTCGAACACCTCGGGCGCGGCATACGGAGGCGAGCCGCACCAAGTCGTCAATAACTCACCAGGCTTGAAATGGTTAGAGAAGCCAAAGTCCGCTATCTTTATGTTCATGTTAAAGTCAAGGAGCAGATTTTCAGCCTTTAAGTCTCGATGAACAATGCCTTTTTTGTGGCAGTACTCTACGGCCGAAATTATTTGCCAGAACTTGAAACGAGCTGCCGTCTCAGACATGCGCCCATACTTAGCGATGTAATCTAAACCGTAAAAATGAAGTATACTCGTTTTAATACCAGCGCTACCGGATGTACTCACCGAATATTTCGCCTTGACTGGCGTATTCCGACACAATGTATATCATGTTCTTCGTTTCCATAACCTGTGAACAAATATTGGCTATTGGTCTGCAGTTCCCAGAAATTTCTACACCAAACGCACCTGATAGAGCTTTATGATGTGTGGATGCTTAAGATGCTTCATGATCTCGACCTCGCGGTAAACTTTCTGCAGATTCGTTTGGTCCAATTGAGATTTGTCGATGATTTTGATGGCCACCTGCAATTTACATAGAGGGCTCGTTATGAAACTGAATTAGTCAGAATGATATGATGGTTATGGGACTTGACTATACCTCGTTCTTGGTTATTCTATGGCGCGCCAGCTTAACCACCGCAAAGTTGCCCTTTCCTATGGTTCGCTCGATGTCATAAAAGCCCACGCGCATTGGCTCCTTAAGCTTTAGTAGGTCTTTAGGGCCACTGCCACCACTCGCAAAGAGCTTTTGAGCAAAGAGCATGTCCTTACAGGCCACCAGTGCATCAATGGAAGGAGCAGCATACGCAGCTACATCAATTGATGTGCCGCTGGATGTCTCAACTGCGCCGGCCGTAACCTGATCGTTGCTAGCAGCCGCCGGCACCTCTGGCTGCTTTTTAGACTCAAATTTAGCAGAAACCACCTGATTCCGATCACAACAATCCTTCGTGCTACTACAGCTGCTGCTCCTATTGTCATGCATGCCCGTACTCCTTACTGTGCCATCCTTAAGCTCCTTTTTATTTACTCTTGCACTTGAACTCATTCCAGCGGATTTCCCAGCAACTTCATCGTAGGCATTGTTGGACATGTTGCTAGACACGCCACTACTGTTCACATCCACATCCACTTGAACCTCGCCGGCACCACTTGTTCGCTGCGTAGTATCATTATTGGAGTTGCTGTTGTTGCCGCTTCCGCCATCGTTTCCAGAGCCGCTGACATTGGCATTGGCAATGGCAACGGCTCCGACCCCGACTCTGCTTTCGGCTTCGCACACACTCATTTTCCCTCCTCTAAGCTTCGATTATGCATTATACGTGTATGACGATGATACACATATAAACACATGATTAGGCGACTGAAATATGCACAAAGTACATTTGCGTTGTAGAATCAACAATATCCGTAAATACGCCGCGGCTCAGAGTGCGATGTGGAGTGAGCTACTCCTCAATCGCGCCCTTTGCCAAATGCCGAATTAAGCCCCTGCGCTTGTGAGTAACAAGTTCGAAAATTGTATGCTACTTACATATACGCATGTATGTACATGTGTACATACATACATACATGTATACTTAGTATACTCGATGTACATATGTATAATCGTTGATAAGAGATTAGCGTACGTACGTACACACACACACACACGCACACGCACGCGTACGTGCATATGCATAAGAGTATGTCTATATGTACATACATAGGTACATATGAACATACATACATATGTACGTACTCTCGTACGTGGAAATGGTCGTGTGTGCTGCGACTGTTTGTATGCTGCATAGAAAAATCAATAAGGGCCCGCAGCTTTCTCACCAATTTCGTTTGGTTACAATCTCACGTGAAAGTGGCAAAGTGTTAACTTTATGAAATGAGAGCTTAAAGCTCTTGATGGGGCATGCCACTCAATAAATTTATGTTGGCACCGAATTTGAGCCAATTACAAATAAAATGCATTGTCGTATTAATGCATATATAGTAGCATTACCTACCTACACATGTATATACATAGTACATAGGCCTACTAAGTGTATGAAAGAAATTATGAAATTACCGCTTTCCATTTTGTAGTTTCACTTTAACTTGGTCCTGAGGTTGATGTTGATGTTGCACATCCTTCAATTAAGCCAACACTCATCGCACAACACCCCAAACAGGTCGTACAGGAACTGTCATGTCAACGACTCCAACGACGAGTCGAACTCCCCAGTAGCGCGCCTATGTATAGAATTCTGGAAATTGTGAAAATGCGCTTGCTTCGCTTCACTTTAAAACCACCGATGGAGCCTTTTTCATACTGCGAACTTCTTCAGGATATCTTCAACTGATACGCAGGTAAGACTTGGTACTTAAGCCGGACGGAAGACTCCGTCACAGTCACATCCAACGTAACCGTCACTGCAAATGAATCCCCGTCGATGGACGCGCAACCTCAATGATTAAGATGCCAATGAGCCGCGAGCGAGTGAGCACCACAGCAACCCAAGCATAGGGTTGCCAAATATGTCCAATGCATCGAACTACGACCGCATTACACTGGGCTGCCAAGCACGGCGATTTACAATGCTAGTGCGCATGCTCCAGTGCGCGGGTTCAACGAATCAAACATTTTGAATACGGCGCCAATCCACTCGTATTTAAATTTAGGCTTCACCACAGGATGTGCCTCTCTTACCATATTTCCCATTAAGAAACACGTTTGTTTTATGTTTTAAAAGTATGTACTATATGCTTGTATGTATATGTATATATGTGTGTTTATATTATACATTAAACAACTTTAAAATAAGATTTGTACAGGGTGATATATAGTCGTATATTTTCAAAACGCTCAGGCAGGACACTGCCCCCAATGTATGTATGTTTCTGATTTTCTAGCAATACCACCCATAAATAAACACTGTTACGTTGTATGTACATACATACATACATACATATGTATGTGTTTTATGTATTGCATTTACATATGTGACACGCGATCTGATTCACGTGCCCATCTATGTATAGGTACGAGTATGTATGCATGTACATATAGGCAAGGAGCAGCGGTAGCAGCTCGTTAAAATATATACATAATATGTACTTACATTTACATGCACACACACACAACACAATACAATTGCAGCTCCATTCTCACCTATCGCGTAAAGTGAATTTATTTCATGAGCTCCGCCTACTGAGATTCTCATAATGCAATGACCAGTTTGGACATGAGAGTCTGCTTCCCATCCCATCTGTTAAACGGTTTTAGACGACCCTTTGATAACATTCTGAGCCACAACTGGGCCCTAAAAAGTAACCGAAACAGAATTGGCAGACTCTGTTTGCATGTAGCATGTAACAGAAAATTTCCATTTTTATTTAAAGGAAAACTGTAACTGGATATAGGCTGACAGAATTTAGTTAGGCTTCCTTATCGACAACATTTAATCTTCACTTTACGATATGGGGGAAAATGGAGCTGTATAAAATCAACAGGTTGCACACAGAGCTGAACGGATTTTTAAATCATAAAATATACATACAAGTAATATGTATAGGAATACGTTATTTTCTCGCACATATCAGAACACATTGTCGGTATAAAATAGAAAGAACATAACTTATATTTTCTTGATATTATTCGTACTTTACAAACGAAAAATCAAAATAATTTAACAGAAACACACCCATGGTACTTAGAACTACAACATCACCGATAAAGGCGAAATAAAAAATATAAAAAAAATTTCAGTTTATTTAAAATAAATGTTAATAACATAAATTCCCTACTGCAACATTTTTCCCCGTAGATAACAAAGGCTCGAATTCAAGCAATGTAATGCGATTTTATAAAAACCATCAGCAGCTCTATTAGGCCCTTTTCCCAATACTTTTTGCTATAGTAAAGGTATTCTGCCTATAGACGACTAAAGGGTGGTTTTGCAAAACGATTTATGAAAACTGCCTGATTGTATTGAATTCCCCAAGCATAAACTTTTTACAATGATTTTAAAGATTAATTGCGTTTAAAAAAGACATGGTCAAGTTAGGTGGAGCATGTTGCCACAAATGTCAGAGTTACACTTTTCAAGGAATGCGATATATGTATGTATGTTCTTGTAATTGTCGGAGACGAAGATTTTCCATCGCAGCGGCGCACAAAGTTCTACAATGACAGCGAATTGCATCGCCAACTGACTGATTTACTAATTTAATTTTCAAAGAATTTATGCATACCTTATCATATCCGGATTCTATAAAAACAAGTAGGGAAGCTAAAGTCGGGTGTCCCAACTTTGAAATACTCTGTACATATGTTTAGAATAATTATAGAAATTCAAAATATTAAGAAAATTAAAAAAAAAATGTTGATCGATTTTACCTCTCGGTATTCGAACTCGCGTAAAGGGTGTATAATTGCAATTGCGTCTGTGTGAGTGTATGCGTGTCTATTCGTGTCTGTGTGGGCATGTTTGCAGCCAACCAAAGCACCAGGATCATAATGAAACTTGGCATACGGACACATAATCACTAGCTGGGCGTATTTGCAAAATTTGAGTTCGAAATTCCAAGAATTGCGGAAGAATTGCGTGGGGTCTTCCACGCCTCCTTCCGCCTGTTACATTTTTCAGCTCGCGGAAACCTAATATACTCTTATACATTTCATGTACAGAGTATAAAAACCAGAGCAAAATTGCTTAAATTCAATAAAATGAGACTATCAGACTTTTCATTGATTGAAATAAAACAAAAAAAAAAAAAAAAAAAAAAACGATTACTTAACATTTTCAATATGAAGTATAAATATGATATGAAAATTTCTCATTTTCAAAAATATATAAATTAATTTGTTTATCCAAAAATTGATTTTTTTTTGACAATTTTAAGGAATCGGTTAGAAGCCTCCTTTATGATTTTTCCTTTCATAAACGATAGTAGAAGCGTGTCTCATTATTCAAAAATATTCTGGGTGTAAATAATAAAAGTTTAATAAGTTATTCCAGTTTTAAAACCAAGAAGGCTAGTAAGTAACGATGTATTATTACGAAATATATGTATTTTGTTGGTTACTCTATCAGCTAAGAATAATTTTGGTGTTTGTAAAGTATATGGAAAAACGTCTATATCTATGTTTAGATACATGGGAAGAAGTGAAGGATATATTTAAATATTGCTTATTTAACTTCATAGTTTAAATCCAAATGTGTTTGGTACTATTGGCCATTATTTTCATTTATTTATATAGGCTACGTCTTCATTTTCTGATAAAATTTTGAAATGGATAAAAAAAAAGAACACTTTAAAACATTTCTATGGTATCAGCTTATCGCAGCCAGTTGGTTTATTAGAATTGAAACATTTTCACGAGTGCAATTTCCTTAATTAGCGGATCGGTCTAACTTTCCAAAAAATGTTATATACCTGTATGCTCAGTGTATGGAACACATAGGCTTCGAAAGCAATAACAAAGCATTTAAAGATAAAGTTTTCTGCACTAGACTTTTATGACAAAATTCTATCCACTTGTCTACACATGGGAATCCATATGAATGCCCTAAAATGTCTCGTAAGTTTTAGGTTAATACCCTTTACGTAATTAACCTTTACTAATACCTTGATGATTGCATAACTAATATTGCTTAATATTATTTATTTTGAAACACTTCCTGGCTTTACAACAAATATTCACACTCGAACTCGCGAACTATCACTTAAAATTCGATTAAAACAAATCAGTTTTGAAGCTATAAGTACAGGTAAAGTTACTTCTTTTCTTTCGATACCGACAATATGTGGATAATACCATCTTGAGTGGCGTTGGAATGAATTCAGCTCTGCAAATTACCTGCATTGTTTGTCGTATTAGTGATTAGGTACAAAAGGGGTTCCCCAGGGCATTTCAACATGTCAAAATACAAATTTCATTTGGGTTGAAGAAGACTGGTACCTTCGGTGTCCCCATAGCAGCGCCTTTTGAAATCGCTGAAGAGATCCTGACGCCTCTGCAAGCCACGATGCTGATCAATATTGACAGACTGAGTTGTGTTCCTGTAGCGTTAAAGTTGACAATAAATTTATTTATTTCTTGTTGGCCGATTTGGCATCTAAATACCTCGTTTTAGTCAGCACCGTGCAGCCATGTTCCACGACCATCGTCAGCGAATAAAGTGTTGCCAAGTTGAAGAGGCTGTCACGCTGATAAATTTCTATATCTGGCAGCCGAATTTGGGTCTGACGTGGATCCTGTAGAAAGCGAGCGAGACGCTCATTGACACTAAGTTTGATGCTAAATCCCGGCCGATCGCCATTTATCCGCCGACAGCCCGCCCTTATTTCGCGCACTTCCGAGGCCTGCCCAGGCGACGACGATAGGAATGGATTAGACGTTTCACCAGACATTTCGCTTTCGAGTTGTTTCAGCGGTGGAATGCTGTCAATATCATTCTTCATATCAAAGCAAACTTTCAAGTCGACTAGGTCGCTAACACTGCTGATGTAGTCCATCGAGAGCTTATTGCGATTGGCACCCCCGCATATTTCAATGGGTTCGGAGATGGCTGGGTGAAAGCGTGACATGTCCGAATGTGGTTCGCAAACAGGCGATTGTGAAGCACCCACATCTACACTGACAGGCGAACTTAGCGCGGCCGCGGCCGATGCCATTGAAGTCTCCGTGCCAGACATCAACGTATCGTCCTCACCTATTGTATCATCGGAGCGTATCTGCGGCAACAGTGATTTCTTCGTAAGCTTACGCTTGGGATCGTATTTGCCGCCAGGACCGAACTCATTGCCAGGCCAGTCTGTCAACTCATCGTCGCCTTCGCGGTCAGTGTCGTGTCGTTGATGGCTATCTTCACTCTCTGATGACGAGCTGAGTGAGCTGGAGCTAAGGAAGTCGTACAGCTCACTGCAATCCATAGATTGCGAGTGAAGTGACTGAAGTCCCACTGAACTATATTGTGATTGACAAAAGCGGCGCCTGCGGTTTGCCTTCGAGGCACTACCGTGGCCTTTTTTTCTGTGTGCATGATAATCTGCTTCCACAGGCAACTGTTGCTGCTGTTGTATTTTGGCGGGCATGTTAAGCAGCGCGTCAATCTCTGACTGGCTGACAGGCACAATTGTCTCAGAGCTTAATGCACTGACCACGGATACATTCACGCCGACCGAACTGGGAGCAGCAATATCATCAACACCCTCGTTACCTTCATCCGTGTTAATTGCATTTGGGTTTGGCAGCTCTTTGACATTGGAAGGCGATTGGTCAGTCTTTTGTTGTTGTGCGATGCGATTTATTTTTGAGAGAAGGCCTTTGTTAAGTGGCAGTAATCGCTCGCTATGTGGTTTTGAAGTGGACGAATAGCTGCGGGGCCGCATGCGATGGTGCTCATCCATATAAGAGTAACGCGGCATACTGGACGAATGCAATTTGGTTGACGTTGTGTGCTCATGGTCATGATAGCGGTCACGATTGGATCGCTTACGTTTGCCGCAGAAAAATAAATTTGAACGATTCCCAGACTCAGGTTTTAACACGCGTTTTCGAACAGTACCTGTGACCGAAATTATTCCAGTTCCTGTCGTGCTGATCCCAGCGCCCAGCATTCCTGGCTGTAGCGGTGAATCTATAAAACCGTGCGGCGGAACAACAAAATTACTGTCTTTGTTGAACTCGAATTCCATGGACATGCGTTTGATTTTTCGCTTGCGACGCGAACTTGGCTTGTAAAACCTATAAAATTAACAACTTTTTATACAATTGTATACACATGTTGACAAAGAAATACGCGCAGCAATCTGCATCTGCGTGCATAACAAAAATGCAAATAGTTATGCATTCGCGGCAACGATCTTGCGCAGACATACCGAGCGGGACTAAAATTAGTCTCGTTAAGAGAGTCCGACTCGAGAGCGCTCATGCGAACTGCAGCGTTCAGGGTGCTATAAGGCAATCGTAAGGGCAACATGCCCTCTGCTTTTTCGTCAGAGTCGCTTGCCGGCATCTTGACATTATCCAAGCCATCTATATTTGCTGTTGCGTGTGGCAATACATGCCCGTGTGCAGTGAGATTGTCAGTTGGACTGCTGGATGAGTCCTCCGTTGGCTGGGGTGCACAAGCTGTATGTATAAAATTATTTATGTCGATTAAATTTCATTTTTTGTAGCGTTAGCAGAATCAGTTATACAAACAAGGACTTTATGTTGATGAGATGTGACAAGAAAGGGTTCAAGTACTTACGCAAATTACCCGTCGATCGAGTTCTACGACGCGAGCCCCACCTTCCAACGCCACATGCCCTGTCCATGAGCGACGTCTCCTCCAGGGCTAACGTCAAATCGTGAGAGAACTGATCCATTGCCACAAACTGCAGATGTACATGTACCTGCTCCCAGCGCTTTAGATCTTTTTCATTTAGCTCGCACTTATACTTGGGCAGATCTAACTAAATTTCTCAGGTATTTGGTGGTGGTGCTTGTGGTGCTGATGGCGATAATTATCTGCTACATCGCGCAGACAAAAGCTCACTGCTTTGACATATTCAAACTAGAGGTGGAGAAATATCAATAGTCGGCACCATCGATAGTCAGCGATAGTTTTCAAAAAACCATCGATATGTACAATACGTACAAATATAGGTTTAAATTAAATAGAAAACTAAAATTCAACAAAATATTTAATATTTCGTTGTTATTAATGTAAAAAATATGGATTCATACACAGACTTATAAACAAATTTTGATATGAGCCATGGGTTCTTAGCAAGAAGAAGAAGAAAGAGCAACAAATTAATATTTTCCATAGCTTCAACGAACAAGCGTTCGGTTTGAATTTGATGGATTGGGATCTGTTACTACATTGATTAGGTTACAGGACTATCCACGACTAGGTGAAAACTTTTTAAATAGTCTTAAAAATTCGAGGTGTCTCCGTTCGTCTTTTCTGCAGCTTGGTAAGATTTGTATCATCCGACACCTTAAAGTATTTTTAAGTTTCGGTACATTTTTGTGTGTGGATTTTTTTTTCTAAATTTATGGTACTCACATTCCACAAGATTAAATTAAAAAAATTCTTAATTTAAAGGTATTCAATCAATTTAAGCAATTAATTCTATTGTACACATACATATACTTTATAATAAATATTAATAAATTGTTTTAAAACTTTTAATACACGCTGTGATCAATTATAATTATATTATGCCCCATTTGTTAGTTGTTGGTAAAGCTTACAAGAAAAACTATCGATAGTGCATTCGATTTTATAATAAATATTAATAATTTGTTTTACAAAGTTTAATACACGCTGCGAGCTACAATTACATTGCGCCACCTTTGCTAGTTGTTAATATAGATTCAAGAAAAACTATCCAACACATGGTGCACGGCTACCATTAATGATAGTTCGCCCCACCATCGGTAGTGCCGATAGTGTGATCGATAGTTCTCCACCTCTAATTCAAACAATAATGTATATATGAATATAACAATTTATGGCAACAAGAACAGCTGCTAAAATGTAAATATTTTCGAGTTCATTTATATAACACACAACAAACCAGTGAGATTAAAGACTAATTAAAGAGGTGTTAAAATACATTAAAAATCATCTTAATACATTTGGGCAAATCCGAAAAATATTAAAAATGGGCGAAATTTTAAAATTGCTTGAGCCAATCTTATAAGTAATTGTGTCTATATGTAAATATATCAAACGGAATCTTTACGAAATTTACCTGTATTTTTAATAACAAATTGTGTTTTCAATTATGTGTTTATAAAAAATAACTTTAAATACAACTTGGGCGTTTGTTGATTAAGTATCATGTTTTGAAAATTAAGTTCAGCTTTTTACACGTTTTGATTAAACGCATGCAATAACAAAACTTTTTAAACATAATATGCATACTAATAGTAACGGGCTACAGCTTCCTAGTTTCGGCCCTTAAAATTTTGATTATCCTTGTTATTTTTTTTAAAGTCGTTTTTCAATACCATCTGTCTTTATCTATCTGTCTTAACTAAAATCAAAATTAGCGACTTTTGTTCAAAATGTGTGTATCAAATATTAAAAAAAATTTTTTAAAACCTACTCAAAGCTCGCGCCGCAGCAGATTGCTGCAAATAGCAGTATATATTGATCTGTTTTTGTTCACACTGTAAAATTCGGTAAAAAAAAAATAATAATAATAATAATAATGAGCATTTAGATTTACCAAGCGGGTTTGCTTTTGTAACATCAGCAACGCCAAAAAAAAACCGTAAACAGATGTTCAAAAGCGTATATTAAGTGTGTAAGATGGGATTTGGACACATAGCCATATATAAATACATATGTTCTAGGTAGGAATTCTATTATTACAAATCTATATTTTAAAAGTTTCTTTTCGACCAACTGCTACTAATGATGGTTCATGTCCTCACGGCTAGTTACAGGCCCACAAGCGCCTAATTTATATCGGTGCATCGAAAATAAAAATCGATGTATCGTGTCGATGCTTTGTTTTGTACATCCCTACGCTATATCGTGACGCTGTTTTATAGACCGCATCACACAGAAATTTGCACACGCAGAATATAAAGTGATTGCGCGTGTCGATCGACCGCTCGTGTTAGCAAATAAAGTATAGAGCAGCGCATCGCTGCCAACGTCCACCGGGAAAACAGTTCTACAAACATTTTTCTGTAGCTGTTGTAATATGAGTCGCCGACGAGTGCAAGATGGCGATGTTGATTATGGTAAGTTGCCGGGAGACCGCCAACACATAGCCACTAATTATTATACCCTGTGCCCAAAGGGTGAAAGAGTATAGTAGTTTTGTGCGAATATATGTAACAGACAAAAGGAGGCGTGGCAGACCTCTAAAATGATATACATATATTATTGATCAGGATGACAAGCCGAGTCGATATAGCCATGTTCGTCAGTCTACCCGTCTGTGTGAACGCAAGAATCTCTGAAAGTATAAGAGCTAGAACAAACAAACTTGGTATCCAGATTCTCCTAAGTCCGAGAAAGGACGAGCTTGTGTTTTTTTTTCTGATACACTCCCCCGCACCTCGTGTTTTTTTTCCATAACTTCCGTACTTTTTGGAATTTTGTACTCAAATTTGGCAAATACCTCTAGTTAGTGATTATGAGTCCGTATGTCAGTTTCATCATAATAGATCAATTATGAAGAAAGTTATAGCCATAAATAAAATCACTGCCCATGCTCTGATTGTATCTCTGCCCACAGCTCTGCCCGCAGCTGTTGTTGCTTTGACTTATTCCTGTACTGCATACATACACGCATATAAACACACATAGAACGTACTTAATTAATTTTATTTTTTTAAATATATTTTTTTTAATTTTCTTTTTTTGTGGAGAGTACAGGGTATTTTACTATCAGACTTGCTCGACTGTAGCGTTCTCTCTTGTTATAATTAAAATAATTAAAAAATAAACAACTTTACTTGCAGATCATCGCCGTAACAAACGGCGCCGTGTCTCTGAGAACCAAGAGATCGAAGATCGTCTGGAATCTTTAATATTACGTGTGGGCGAGCGCAGTACATCATCTGTGGAGTCAAATCTTGAAGGGCTAGTATCTGTACTAGAGGCCGACTTAGGTACATTCCGTTTGAAGATTTTGCGCATATTATCCGACTGTGCAGTTCTAATGCCGGAAAAATGTACCGTTTACACGACTCTTGTGGGTTTGCTTAATGCAAAAAATTACAAATTCGGTGGTGAATTTGTTGATCATATGGTCAAAACGTTCAAGGAGTCGCTGAAGTTTTGCCGCTGGGATGCAGCACGCTACTCTTTGCGCTTTCTTGCAGATCTGGTAAACTGTCATGTTATCTCTGCCACCAGCCTGTTGCAGCTTCTTGACACGATGATTGACGTATCCAATGAGGACACGGTGCCACAAGTGCGGCGCGATTGGTTTGTGTTTGCCGTGCTATCGACATTGCCTTGGGTGGGCCGCGACCTCTACGAAAAAAAGGAGTCTGCTCTCGAATCACTGCTGTTACGCATAGAGGTCTACCTTAATAAGCGTTCTAAGAAACACCACAACGCGCTTCGCGTATGGTCATCAGACGCTCCGCACCCACAGGAAGAGTACCTGGACTGTCTATGGGCGCAAATACGAAAACTACGTCAAGACAACTGGGCCGAGAAGCACATACCACGTCCGTACCTGGTCTTCGACTCCATATTGTGCGAGGCGCTGCAGCACAACCTACCACAAATTGTGCCGCCATCTCACCATGATTCCTTCGAATATCCTATGCCTTGGGTGGTTTATCGAATGTTCGACTACACGGACTGTCCCGATGGTCCGAATTTACCCGGCGCTCACTCTATCGAACGCTTTTTGATCGAGGAGCATCTGCACCACATCATCGAGAAGCATCACCAGGAACGCAAGGACTGCGCTGCGCAACTGCTCAACTTTCCATTTAAACACAAAATACCGCTGGAGTACTGCATCGTGGAAGTGATTTTTGCCGAGCTCTTTCACATGCCTACTCCCCGGTTTCTAGACATTTGTTATGGCTCCATCTTGATCGAACTCTGTAAGCTGCAGCCGGGCACTCTGCCTCAGGTTTTAGCACAGGCCACGGAGATCCTCTTCATGCGCATCGACTCTATGAACACATCGTGCTTTGACCGCTTCGTTAACTGGTTCTCTTACCATTTGAGCAATTTTAAGTTTACATGGTCTTGGGACGAGTGGGATAGTTGCCTGCTGCTCGACGCCGAGCATCCACGACCCAAATTTATACAAGAAGTTCTCCAAAAGTGTCTGCGGTGAGTGACCATCGAGTCCTGTTGATGTTAGCCTATATAATTCTTATATTACATTTTACAGCCTATCGTATCACCAACGCATCGTTGATATGATGCCTACTACCTATGCGAGGTTGATACCAGTGGACCCCCACGCCAACTACAAATACGCCAGCGATGAGGCAGGTGAGTGGAGTAGTACTGTCATATTAGATTAGGGGTATAGAATTTATTGCAAAAAAAAATAATATAAATATTTGGTATGAACAACGCTCATTCAGCTGCGCTTTACTTCGTTCTCTTCATCGTCCACGACGATAGGAATCTCCTCGCCGTTCTCACCAATTTTAATGCTCACAGACTTGCTTACTGATTTTTGTGTACGCACCTCGACAACTTCTCGCGGTGGTGCGGGCGTCACAAGCATTACTTGTGATGGCGTTGTTGGCACAAACGCAACCTTTGACTCGTGCCGAAAGCTACTCTTGGCATTACTATCATGGGAAGTTGTACTACTGTTGCCTTTGCGTCGCTGTTTCCACTTGATTGTTGGCAATTCTGTTGTTGTCGTTGACGTTGTCGTCGACCTACCCGCCGTTATCCGCGTCTTCATGCCTGGCATACTGCGGTGGCGACTAAGCGCGCGCAACGGCGTGGTATTGGTTGAGGTAGACACGAAGCTGGCGACCCCACTGCCACCACTTGAGCTGGGTGTAACAGGCACTGCAGCTGTTGTCGGCACTGTAGCTGTTGTCGGTACTGCAGCGGTTGTCGGCACTGCAGCCGTTGTCGGCACTGCAGCGGTTGTCGGCACTGCAGCTGTTGTCGGGACTGTTGTTGTAGGGGTTGTCGCTATGATCATAACACTGTCAGACGTGCTTAGCCCTGCCTGCTTTTGACTGCTTGCGGACAGTTGTATTGGTGCAGTGGCATTATGTGGCTTGGCCACTAATCCCGGGCGATGTTGCTGCTCCTCAGCTGTTTCATCAAGATCACTGTCGTTTTTGTCGTCACCTTTAAGGGAATGCAGCGAAACGTAGGAGTCCTGTGAATGATCTGCAGAGCTAAAATGAGTGTAAAGCGGGTCCGGCTCGGAATATCTGAATACTGTCTCTTCCAGAGGCTCGCTTTCGACAAAGGGTTTCTCTTCGTTGTCCGTATCGGACGCTGCGCCACCTGCGTAGATTAGTAGTGGTGGCGTTCCGTTTACCTGTCCACGAACCTGCGGCTTCCTCAGGGGCCGTGGTCTCACATGAACAACTAGACTTTCCTCATGTGGCTGATCCTCGCCCTTGGATGGTAACAAGTATTGAGCATCAGTGGGTGTGCCTGCTGTGGGAAACAGTATCTGTTGCGTCGACGGCTTGTGGAAGTAGGGAATAGTCGTTGTCAGCTCTGGCTCCCAATAATTCATGAGTGCGGTTGGATCTTGGACTTTGCCAAACGTGGGCGCCACATAGAAGTGATGATGAAAGTGGTGTGTAATTCCTGTAGGTGAAGCATCTCCCTCTTTGGGCAAAGGATATCGCTCCAACGTCGTCGGTGTTGTTGTTCCTGTCGGCAATTCCTGCTGCGGTGGAAAGTGCTCGGGGCGTGGACTGAACCTCATTTGATAGTTAGGACGAAATGTCGTGGGTGTGATATAATTTTGACGTAGGCCGAGATTAAATATGTTAGGGAAGACTACAATCTTAGGCGTGGACTTTGTGGGCGGCAAAACAAACCCATCTCTGCCTTTCATGTATTCGCCTATATTAAGTTTGGATAGATTTGGAGGTGGAGGTGGATGGAAGATGCCATGCACGAAGGTAGCTTGTGGATCAGCTCCGGGCTGCTGAAAGTTTCTGCGATCCAAACGTCGTTCCGCGAAGACATCCTCATGTTCATCCTCGTACACGATTCGCCCAAAGCTTTGAGGGTAGTCTGCCTCTTTCTGAATAAAGTTATGCTGTCTGCGTTCCGATAACGCTTCCTTCCAATGCGACCAGTGTTTGTGAGTCGTCGCAGGCGTCGCCGAGGGCGCGGAGTTGCTAGGCTGCAGAAGCGGTGTTACACTGAACTTCATTTCATAATGATATCGACGTCCTCTGGAGCCATCTTGATGACGAATTTTCTGCACTTGCCATAACGCCAGTATAGGAGTACGCTCACAGCCAGCGTAACCGCATGCTCCCTCAACGAAACGATAGCTGCTATTAGCTTCTACCTCCTCTACCCGCCCGCTAGCCAGGGTAACTATATCGCCGAAACGAATCTGTGGTTGGAAGGCATGCGCTTCGTCGGGGACATAAGGCGCTTGTAGGAAGGCGTGGTAGTTGTGCAGCTGACTGTAGTGGGAATAGCTTTATCAGTAAGAATATAATAGAACTGTACCCACCCACCTTAAATTGCCGGCAGCTGCGCCAACTGCAGCATCGGTAAATAGAGTCACGTACGTCACGTGTTTCAGAGTGCGCTCCCAGGGGCGAACCTGCGACTCACTCTCCTGATTTTGCCCCTGAAACTGCTTTCGCTCTTCGTAGAAAACTCGCTTGCCCGAAAGCTGCAAGTCCTGCTTAGGCGTCAATACGAGATCACGCCCCACAATCGCGGCGCTCAATTGAAGCTGCAATGAAGCGCCAAGTGGCAGATAAATAGATGTTGTACTTAAATATGCACAACCACAAAATCAATACGGTATCAGCCTATCAGGCAAATGCTAACTATTATCAATCCTATTTCACTATCTTAAAAATTTGCATATTATTTTAAGTTTTGTCTTGATTGTTAATCCGATATCGTTAAATCATTACTTATTAACTCAGTCAAGAACAGATTTGAAATCATTTTTGCTGTTGTATTTGTAGGAAAAGTCGCATTTTCTACGTTAAAAAATAATATTTATTATGTATTATTATTTGTTTTAATGTATACATTAAAACTTCGGTATAGTTGTTGTTTTGTGTTGAAATTCTTGTTTTAGGGAAACTTTAATGGGCTTGAATTTGGAAGTGTGTTCTTATTGACTTCATCCAACAATCTATTGTTATTCACTTACAAAGGCCAGCAAAATAAATAAAAAACAAAACAGTTGCCACATGATATTGGTTCAATCATTCACAGCGGTACACACTGGCCTATTCCTTGGCCGTTTAGTTGCGAGATGTTTTTTCAATATGCGCGACGTTTGCGTTACAATCGCTGCAAAACTCGACTGAAATGAGTCCAAGCCGCGCGCACACTAATAATCCAAAAATGCTGCGCGGCTAAAGTATGGCTGCTTGGCTTAGATGATGCGCCCAACGGCAAACACCAACCCACCGTCGACAATACCTGCTTTCATTGTGGCAGCGAAGCGGCGCGACGCAGCGCGTCTGCGTCTGCGTCGACATGAACGACAATGACGGCCCGAAGGTTTCGCAACTGCCACAGCCGCGTCGGCGTAACAGCCGCATAGACCTCTTCTTTAGTATGGCCCCGTGGCAATGTGCACTTATGCAATTGTTGGCCGGGGCGGAGGAGGCGAAATTGGTGTTGGTGTTGGTGCTGGTGCTGGTTGATGGGCGCTAAAGACGCGCCCCGCTGTGCAAAAGTGTTTTTCGGCTTACGGCTTCCCTTCTTGCGGATCGAGCTGATTTCGTTTGGTTTTCCGCAGTTGGTCGTTACGATCAGATTTTCATTGAGATATTTTCTTTTTGCTCGCTTCGCTGAAACTCAACGGCTGAACTTTTTGTATCCGGTCTCGTCGCTCACCTTGGCAAAGTTCTTAATGTTGATCGCTGCCTCAAACTAGTGCTGTCGCATATACTCGAACATACACCCTCTGATGACATTGAAAACTGGGCCAAAACGGCTGAACATAAAACCGAGCTCACATCCAATAGATCATCATTCTTTATACGTAAAATGTACCTAATATGTTAACCATATTATGAGATAATAGATTAGGTTTTTTTTTTTTAAAGGTTTAGTATGTTTGGTCTTGATGGCACATTATTTTGAGTTGAGACAAGTTACAAACGCCTTTATGCCACGTAGAAACAAAGAACAATAAAACGACTTTCTTCAACACAAGGTAGTACGTCGTCAACATTTATGTGAACGCCGCTTAAGCTTCATGCTTGTTCAGAATACAAAAGATAATCTGTACATGCTCTTGACGTGACAGACTAACAATATGTATGTATGAGATTGAGGTTTTGTGAACCCAAACTAGGGAATGGCATTGACATTGTCCGCACCATGCATTATCTTTCCCAGCAAGCAGGTGCTGTTGATGGAGATGCCCAGACCCAGACTAACCACGCTAACCGGTTCCTGCTGAACTGTGAATTTCCGCATCGCTTTGGCCAACTACTTTCATTTATTTATTATCTAAATGAGTACACAATTAACTACCGTGCACAACACCATCCCCCTAAAGCTTTCATTATTCAGACAGACGCATGCACACTTTATCGACATAATAAATAACTGCCTGCCAATAAATAAATAGCTTGTAATAGACGGAAAGTGTCATCAGGAGGAGGGGTGCTCCCTGTAGGCGGGTGGTCATTAGTAACAACAACGCATACATTCCATCACATTGAGTAGATTGGGCAACGAGCAACAAGCCAGAGCAAAGCAGAGCAACGCTTGGTTCCACGCGATGGCGCACAAAACGCAATGCACAAAATTGGCAACAGCCGCGTGCCCAACGTGGTGTACGTAAAGCGAAAGTGTCAACAAAGCGCGTGTGGCTTCCTACACCCAGGCCATAGGTACATGCATACTACATATGTATGTACTCGTACTTACTATACATAGTGTACCCAACTACTTATATGAAAAATGCACTCGAACATCAGATGTTGGTAGGCAGAGGAAGATGGTAATTTTGATGCAGCTCCTACAAATATTCCGAGCATTTGTATTTCCACAGAATTCAATATTCATACAATACATATACTACTTGTACATCTATATTTCCAGAGATATGTTCAAGATCGCCAATTAAAGTATGCACTTGATTTACATTTCATTTTGCAGCTAACCTGCCAGGCACTACTGTCGCTCATCAGTTGGTTGTCGCTGTACGTCAGAAGTGTACGCCAGAGGAGGTGGTGAACATTCTGAAGGATATACCCAGCAGTGGGTATAGCGGAGAGGAGATGTCGGATGGCTCCTTCAATGCGCTTAAGATCGACGTATTTGTCCAAACGCTGCTCAACTTAGGCTCGAAGTCATTCTCGCACAGTTTTGCGGCTATCTCCAAGTTTCATGTTGTGTTTCGGGTAGGTAACCCAGCATAGTTGTGCGTATACTTAGTATCTAGTCTACTTGATTATCTCCACGCAGGCGTTAGCTGAGACAGAAGAAGCGCAAATATGCATACTGCACAACATCTTCGAGCTGTGGTCGTCGCATCAGCAGATGATGGTGGTGCTTATTGACAAGCTGCTAAAGCTTCAGATCGTCGACTGCTCGGCAGTGGCCACATGGATATTCTCCAAGGAAATGACTGGCGAGTTCACCAAAATGTATTTGTGGGAAATCCTTCACCTGACAATCAAAAAGATGAACAAACATGTCATTAAGCTGAGTAAATGCATGACAGCTTAGAACTCGCAGACATGCCAAACAACCTTTCTATTTTTGTTGTTGCAGCCACTGAACTTAATGATGCCAAGTATAAATTGTCCAAGGCGGATTCATCGTCAAGCGAATCGGATGAGGACACCCCACACAAACGGAAGAAGCCCATTACGCACGCAGATAAGCCGTCCGAGGAGGTGAGTGCATGAGTATCTGCTCATGAGCAATAGAACGTGGCCGGATTGCACAACGCGCTCGCTTCAAGCTGGTTGTATAGTATTTGCGCAGCTCCGCTTTTTGACCAGTAAACTAGCAAAGCAGATCAGAGCCCAAAACTACTGGCTTTTTGGTCCGTCGCTTTCGCGCTTCGATGCGCACTGGTGTTCCAGGGCTTGTTTCTTGTTAACCAAGCGAGCTTGTTGAGCTATGTTCTACCGCTGAAGGCGCCAACTCATTTGTTGCTGCTGCTAATTATGATCCCTAACTCTATCTTCCGCAGGTGGTGGAGCGCATGGAGGAGAAGCTCGAGGCAGCAAATGTGAACCAAAAACGCCTGTTCCTAATCGTCTTCCAGCGCTTCATTATGATACTCTCCGAGCATTTGCTGCGCTCGGACACAGATGGTCGCGATCCGGACACAGACTGGTATCGTTGGACCATAGGACGGTTGCAGCAAGTGTTCCTTATGGTCTGTTTGCTGGCAAACACCTCTGTTTTCAGTCCAATGCACGCTAACCCTTCCGCCTTCTTTCTATCCACTTCCAGCACCACGAACAAGTGCAGAAATACAGTAGCACGCTGGAAACCCTGCTTTTCACATCCGATCTGGACTCACACATACTGGAGGTGTTCCAGCAGTTTGTCGCGCTTCGCGCCTAGAAAAAGTTGCTAACGGAGCACTGGGATCACGTCATGTGTGTGCTGTATATTACCTGTCTTTATGGTTTTGGTTTTGTAATTTTATACAATAAATTGATATTTATAATTCGATTCGGCAAAGGTGAAAATTCCTTCGCCTGCAAAGAGGAGCCTCACTTGATTAAAATCAACTCAACGTCTTCTAATTATTTCTACTACGGGATTGGGCAGACCAGGTCAGATCTGTGGTGATTGCAACATTTTTCGCCTGGACTTTTTATACCCTGTACCCAAATAACATAATCACGGGAAGATCTGTGACACTCTCATGTTATGGGTACAACATAGGCCAAATATGAGCCTTACTATCGTACCTCACTGGTATCTATATTACATACATATGTTTATGTATTTCTCCACATGTATCTATCTTATTTATATTATGTAATTTGAGAAGTAAAAATGCATTACTATACTTAGCAGCGTAGTTTGAATTGTTGCACGAAGGTATGTACATGCGTGTGGTACTTTTATACATCCAAAATGTAAAAAATATGTCAGTTACAAGTACCTCCGATCGATCTAACCATGTCTGTCCATCTGACTGCCTGGATTTCGAAATCGGCTTAGAATGTCCGTCTGGATGAACGCCAGGATTTCGGAAACGGTTGAGCGCACATTAACCAAACTTGGTATATACATACACGAGTTTATTTTATTTTTTTGAATTTTCGCCTTTTGTTTTAAATTTCATCCAAATCAGTTAATTCAAAGAAAAGTTATTAGCGAAACAATATTTATGTATATAGTAAGTAACTTTTGTGATAAGTAAAATGATTTAACCGTTGAATGAAATAAAATTGTACAAGTGAATTATACAAATTGCAGTTTCTACAATGGCAGCAAAAGAAAATAAGCCATATAAGGAGCGCTACTAGTATGAAGCTTTAAGCTTTAAACATTCAAAAATTACTAATTTTTTTTTGCCACGCAAGGGGAGCCACCATATAAAAAAAATGGCACCAAATGAATTGCCACTTTATTTTAATACATACTTACTTGTAAGTATGTGTTCTATTTCACTTTTGAAATCTTTTGCCATTTGAATAAACCTATGTATGTATGTTTTTGAAACTAATAAATTTAAACAGTAAACCTGTTTTTATACTCTGTATATGAAATGTACAAGAGTATATTAGGTTTGCGGGAGCTGAAAAATGTAACAGAAGGAAGTATGTATATTCTTGATCAGCATGACAAGACGAGTCAATCTATGTCTGTCCGCTCGTCCGTATGAACACCTGGATCTTGGAGACTATAAGACATAGAGACTCCAAATTGTGAACAAAGATGCCTTAGAGTCTGTTTTATTTGCAAAGTGTGTTTTGACCTTCCTCGGCGATGGGCTCAACATTATTGGTCTCGTAGAAATTTAACTCACCCACTTAATTACTTATTATATAGTAATTTAATATGATTTTTGTTAAACTCTAGCGATTACTTAGTAGATATATTATAAATCAAGTGTTATTTTGTGTGTATATAGGCATTTGGTAATCATCGTGTGCCGGAAGTGAAATTTTATTAAAAAGTATTATGATTATGACGGATCTCACTATTCTATTTGCAATTTCCAATAGTTGAAGTATTTTCGTTTGAAACCTGTTCCTTATTAATATGATCTGTAATATTATTAAACTAGTATTTTTAGAGATACTTGGGGCATTGTTAGTTAATTCGTTAGTATTTTGTTTCAAGTACTGTAGTGTGGTTTATATTTATTTAAAGTTGTCAGCAGCCATGTTTTTTGTAACTGATTTTAGAATTGTTCCTAATCCGTTAATTATTAACCTCTTAAATGGTAATAAATTTCCAAATTTTGATTCCCAACCTTCTATAGCTTACAGAACAAGGCTGTTGTAGGTTTATCTAAGTTTTCTTCTTTTCGGATAGATCCTATTTTATAAACAAATCCAATGGTACAGTAAAGTTTAATACCCCCATGCGTAACAATCTGGCCCAAAAATGCATTATTTTCCCGAAAATTTAGATGTACCTCATTAAGTTATTAAAATATTTTCATTGGTCATTCTCTGGGATTCGTAATGCCCCAAGTACTGTATGGGCTACTTATTCACGTCTTTGGGACAAATTTAAATTTTGTGGTAAGCATATTACTTAAAGAACTAAATATTTATCTTTTATAGTCGAGGGACTCCATGGAGAATAAATATCTTGAATTATATTTTTATAGGAATTTCACCTTTTGTTTAAATATTATTTGTATTTTGTATGGAGCCCTTGGTTTTCTAGCAACGCAACCCCCAAACTAAGCGAGGGCTAGGTGTACATACATAGTTTAAAGAATTTATGAATTAGCATGTCAACGCATGCATGTATATTTATTTTCATGTAGATTTATTTATTTATTCTTAATTTTCATTGTTAATTGATATTCGTTTTTTCTAAGCAGTGCACGAAATACTATCACGATCCGCGTTTGAGTGTTCACTTATTTATTTGATAGAATCATTTGTTTAGTGTGATTACTGGCTAATGACACATACAATACACATATATGTATGTACTACTAAGTATAACTTCTTAGTCGATATGCTATACAAGGGACCATAGAAATCTTACGTGACAACAACCATAGGGAGAGTGAGAACATGTTGCTCTAATGACGAATACTTTATGGAGGGATGTACTCGTATGTACCTTTATGACATCGCGACATTAAAAAGATTTATACGTTTGTTAATTATTTTTACTCTATATCCACTTCACTTGATTATTATCCACTTACAATTCACAAATAATGAACGAAATGGGTCTTTTGTGGGGATTAGTTTCGTACCGCTCCAAATTTGGCTCAATCACTTGTATAGAATTCTGTATCAAATAGGGCCAATCGTTGCAGTACTTGCAAGATTCCAGCTACTAAAAGGTTTCAAGAAACACAACTTCACTGGTTCGAATGCGGTTTCAGAATGATTTTTAATTTAACGAAACAATATTATGTTAGCCTAAGAATCACAAAAATGTTGAGACTCAAATCTGCAGATGCATCGTAAATATGCCAAGTTAAATGCTTTCGCAGCAATTTTCAGAGAGATGTCGCAACCTCACATCCTCTACAATTGCTTAGCGTGCAATTTTCTTATGGTAGACAGATTTGAATTTGATGATACTTATCAAATTTATATTTATTTTGATACATACTTATCAAAAGCATAAAAGGTATTGCTGACTGAAAATTAATAATTAGAAAATAGGGATAGAAACAAATTCTTTCCACAAATCAATGCACATGAAATTTTGCTCATCAATGCTTACGTTAGTACGACGCTCTGAAGTTCGAATTAATTTTCCTTTTGCTTCTGCTTTGAATCGTTCTGTTAGATTCTTTTGGAACTAGATGGAACATTAATGTTGTGCCAGCCCGACACTTGAGTAACCTGTAACCACCTTTTGTCTACCCTACTGTCATTGAACAGTTCTACAGCAGCCGTACTTGTATGATATGGTAAACCCATTTTAATTAAGCTTCCGGTTATGGTGACACCCATATAATATACAATTTTGATAAAACTTCGTATTATTGTGATGTGTCACTCATAAATACCTGATAAGCTATTAGGGAGAATTTTTACACAGCTCGTTCCTATTGTCACGGGCGTGGGCAGGGAGGGGAGACTGTTACCCCCTTAAACAAAATTTTGCCGTATAAATTCGACCACACATTCATAATTATGGCACACTATTTCGCCTTAAAATGGAACTGAGCTAGGATTCTTCAAGTTTTTTTATTGATCATAAGTATAAATTATTATTTTAACGCATCACGCATTATTTAATGAACAAAATTTGTTTGGCTCCCCCTTTGGACAAAGCTTCGTACGCCCTTGGCTATAGTACTCTTATTTTAAAAATTTAGGAATGGAAAACACTTATGATGTTTTCTTGCCCAGCGTAATTTGCTTGCAACCAGGCATCGTATGCGTCTATATTTGTGTCTGTAAGTAGGTATATATTTGTATGTATGTATTTATGTAATATATATATTGCTTTATGTACATATATGAAAATAGATAATTCATTTGTCAGGCGTCGTCGTCTATGAATCTTTGGCTTCGTTGCAATTGCTTTAGTTCCCGCGGTTCCAGGTAGATTGCTCATCAGTGTTACTTTCCTAAGATTGTGTGTTGTAGCCGTTTTGGTCGCTCCATTGTTTCCCGTCACTCGTATTGTCTATGCAGAAGTACGAGGCTGGCTGGGCACGTACTTCTCCGACGGCTGGTACTGCCACTGAGCGCAAATGATGTCCTGCTCCGTTTGATTGTAGCCAACCCTGGAGTGCGGGTGTCGAGTTAGCAGCAAGTGGGACGGAGTGAAATTTAGAGATTTAATTGTTTATTAATGGCAGTAACAAAATTTATTGAAATAAAAATATACGAATATGCAAAAAACATTTCAAACAAATAATGACAAATAAGCGTAGCGTTTATATATATTATTACTAATAAGTGCTAATCTGTATGGTAAACTAAACCACTTAAAATTTATAATACTCTATGTACAGGTACAGCACGGTCTGACAGATTATCTGCGGTGGTACTGAGCTGTGGCGTATGAGTTCAAAAGTTTTGCCATTGCAAAATTTAAAAATTTCAAAAAAATTAAATAATGAGTATATGGAGTCTTATGAATGATTTGCGATTAAAAACGCAACTATAAAATGTTAAGCGATTTAATTGTTGGGGCATGCCAAAACTAAAATAAGTCAATCATCTGATTTGATTTTGCACCAATCGATAAAATGATGAGACCTTCTGTGTTGAAGGAAAAAACCAATATGTCTTCATCGGTTCAAGTCGTTATGCATGCCAAATTTTGGCATAACCTTTCACCCTATAGGTACCTGGTATAATCGATCATATACATATGTAAGTACAACAACATTGATATTTATAGAAAGTTATTTATAGCCAATGTTATAAATGTTAACGCAATGTTCTTTACTTTGGCTTTCATTACCGGTCCTAATGCACAGAAGAGTTCAGCTTTTTCCCACATAAACAAGCATTTCTGGTTGTGGAGCCAACCGAAAATAATTGCTTCCAATAAGCTGGCAGCTGTTGCAAAAGATGATATTCTCCTAAAAGTTATACAAAGGTAGACAAGGTACGTCCTAAAGTAAAATGAATTCAATAGTCACCCAATCTTTCGTAACATTTGCTAAACTTCAAGTAAAATGATTGCGACTGAATGAGAATAAATAAGTATTTGACATATCGTTGTAAGTTTTATCGAAATAACTCTCTTTAAGGAAGTAAGTTTATGGTGATTTGCGAATTTATAAAAGATCATCGAAAGTTTTCATTGACATTGGATGTCTTCCAAACATCAATCATCGTATTTTGAGTTGCTCGCTCGGTTTGTTCTGCACAAGCTGAGGAGCAAGTCGTAAGTTTTATCGAAATAACTCTATTAAGAAAGTGAGTTTATGGTGATTTGCGATTTTCACTCAGAAGCATAGGCAATTTGATTTATAAAAGATCATCCAAAGTCTTCATTAAAATTGGATGTCTTCCAAACATCAATTCATTGTATTTTATTTTGCACAAGCTGAGGAGCCGTAAACTACCTTACATTATTTGAATAAAAAACAAATGTTTGTCATCGACACTCGCTTAATTTAGTAACTTGAATCGGTCGAGGGCATGAAAAACCGATTTGTCTGAAGGTACTTTTAAACAAAAGGATTAGGTTTGCGCCTTTTAAGATTGTTTGCTCTGGAACGCATCTTGTAGAAATGAAAGAACCGCACTTAATCTGCCAACTTCTGCAAAACTTACTGAACACACCTACACACAATTATTGGAGACTCGCAAATGTAACTCAACATACTTCCTTAAAATTGGGCATATGAACCCTAAATAGAAATGAACTAAGCCGGACTAAAATCACACACTCAGCATACTCGTACACACCAACCAACTGAAAAATCTGTATTAAATAAACCGTGTGCAAAATTGAGGGAAGGTGATGTAAAGCTCCATTTCTGTTCATGGCTTGGATGACTATGGTAGATGACTATGATGCGGTAGTAAGATGTGGCAGTAACAATGGTTTAACGAATTCTTTAAAGTAAAAAAAAAGTACAGTCTTTTTCTATGCTATCGGTGCCAAACACCGCTTAAAGACGCCCGTACACCAGTAGCTCGTTGTAGTATCCTTGAGGCGGTTGCGCTGGGAACAGCGGGGGCGGCGGCAGGTCGCGACTTACAGGAGTCTGCAAGCTGTTCCACACAATACGCGGTCTATGGACCACCTCGCGCAATATATTGACTGCCGCCAGGCCCACGCTGGCCAACTTTACGCCAAAACGATGGAAGCCCTGTTTTAGGGGTGCGAGCGGTGCGACTGCGGGCGGCAAGGAGCGGCCCTCCGCATGGGCTAGAATCTTGGACAGAACGTTGCCCACGTCAGGGGGCACATACAGCTCAGCCATACGAAACTCGGCCCCACAGTGGCCGCTACCATAGAAGAAATCCTCGAACCTCTGATGCGCAGAGCAGGGGCTGCGTTCCTGGAAGCATGTAACCTGCACAACGTTGTAAAATATGGCACCTAGGGTGTTGGCCGTCTCTGTGTTGGCGGCTTGCAGGCAGCGGCGGAAGCGGGCGTCGCAGTCGCAGTGGGACCTCGTAAAAGTGCCACGATTGCAGAGCCCGCGTCGGCACTCGCCTACGTTGAGGACGTCGGGGCACATGTCGTGTTCGCGGCAGCATCGGTCCTCGCGCACGTGCACGCCTAAGTCATCATAGCTGGTAGCAGCAGTGCCGGGTCCGCACCACTTGGTTCCCGGATAAATGAAGCCGAGGCCGCCGCGAAACTCGTGGCCATAGGAGCCCTGTCTCCGACAAACCTCCTCCAGCTCCATGACGGACTCACGCGGCACCTGGCGTATACGACGTGGGTCTGATTGCAGCAGCATGCGTTGGATGTCTCCGCTGTTGGTCAAAAAGAATTCATGCTAAGATTGCAAGGATCCACCAGATCCACCTCACTTACCGATCCGTGTGCATTTTACAGAACGGGTGCCGCGAGGAAAGCTCTACCATCACTGTCATAGTCATATCCGAGATGAGCACCGCCGAGCTGGAACTGGGCGGCAGCGCCTGGCTGAGCAGGAGCAGGACGAGCAGGAAAAACAACTTCATGAGAGTGCGACTACTGAAAGTGAGAGAAATAAATATGATGGATCAGTCCAAAATCCTTTGTCAATGAAATATTCCGTTCTATGAGAGCACTGTGTGTTCATTAAATTTGATTTAAAGCATGAGATCACTGTCTATGAGTTGTAAAGAAAACTAGGTTCAGATGGTACACAACCTCCACAAGCCATGAATAAATCAATGTGTAATACATACTTGTATAGTATGTTTACGTATGTACATATCTAAATTGAATTTCCATCTTCACATCTCCACTATCGTTAACAAAGCCAAGGGTGTACTTGTTCTAATTAAACGATGGTCCGAAGAATTTAGCGACCCCTATACCACCAAGTTCTATAGTACGGCCAGTGCTTGGACACTGCTCCTGTATTTGGTGTCCTCAGTATAATTGCTTCAAGACCACATTGAGTCGGTCAAAAAAAGATTCCTTCTTTTTGTTATCGTGTTTAATAAATCTATGCTAAGATCCAGAGGTACTAATAATTGTTGTGCCAACTGTATATTTCTAATCTAATATACTCTTGTACCTTTCAGGTATATCTTTGTTGTAGTTGTAACACAATCGCTACGAATCGGTCCGGACCTTGACCCCATTACAAAATGTTAGAATTCTTTCTGAATAGTAGTTTTTAAGCCTATTTCAATAAATTTCAGATTTTAGATATTTGTATACCCTGTACCCAAAAGGAAAAGGGTATACTAGTTTTGCGCAAATGTATGTTACACGCAGAAGGAGGCGTGGCAAAAGTATATATATTCTTGGTCAGGGGGACAAGCCGAGTCGATATAGCCATGTTAATTTCTTAAAACTTTACATAAACATATGGAGACATACATACAATCATGTATGTATGTATTGAAATTATAAATATATAAATAAATTTATGTAATAATTTAATTATTTTTTAAAATGAATTTTTTAACTATTTTGTTTTTAATTTTTTCTTTTTTGTGGGTACAGGGTATTTATGAGTTAAGCTCACTCGACTCTAGCATTCCTTTCTCGTCGCAGTGTTTTTTTTTTTTTAAGGTGACTTGTGAAACGCGTCAAATAACTATAACATTTGTTAAAGGAAAAGGAATTTCTTAGATTAGCAGAATTATTGTGCTGGCTATCAACAGCGTTCATTATAAGGCAGACTGCCGACTCCCGTGATAAGACTTTTCAAAAATTTTGATTTGCTATGTATAATAATTTAAGTATTTCTCCCAGTGTATACACATATACATAAGTACTATATTTTTATACCCTGTACCCAAAGGGTAAAAGGGTACATTAGTTTTGTGCGAGTGTACATGGAACACACAGAAGGGGCGTTGCAGACCCCACAAAGTATATATATTCTTGATCGGGATGACAAGCCGAGTCGATATAGCCATGTCCGTCTGTCCGTCTGTATGAACGCAAGGATCTCAGAAAGTATAAGAGCTAGAATAACCAAACTTGGTATCAAGATTCTCCTGAGCCCGAGAAAGGACGAGTTTGTTAATTTTTTTTGATCCACCCCCCACTCCCCCCCTATCGTGATTTTCTATAACTCCCGTAATTCGTGAACTTTTGTAGTCACATTGAGTTTGTGATTATATATCCGTATACCAAGTTTCATTATGATAGGTTGATCAGAAAGAAAGTTATAGCCATATAACCAGGCCCAATGCACACATACATGCATATGTACAAGTACACAAACACGCATAGACACGATTCTGATGTAAATGTAAATATGTGTATGCATGTATGGAATATTTTTTGTTTAATTTAGGTAATTAATTAAATTAAATTAATTCATTAATTTAATTTCTTTTTTTGTGGGGTGGTACAGGGTATTTAAGAGTTGAGCCTACTCGACTTTAGCATTCCTTTCTTGTTCATCATAAATTGTACAAAACTTCTTTGCTGAATATCTTCTACTTATCTTCTACTTTGAAATACTCTGTACATTTGTGTAGAATAATTATGCGTGTATGTGTGTGTCTGTGTATGTCTCGCGTGCCTGTGCAAAGCAGTAACAACAACAGCTGCGGGCACTTCTTGGTCTTATATACATATATGGCTATAGCTTCCTGTTAAATCGGTGTATCATGATGAAACTGGGCATACGGACTCATAACTAACTGGAAGTATTCTTCCAATTTCAATGAAAAATTCCAAGAAATACGGGAGTTATAAAAAATCTGTGATTGCGGGGGAGGGGGTAGGGAGGGAAATTCCAAAATACACATTTTCTGTGTATTCACATAAGGCACCTGGGATTTGGTGTCCCTAGGTCTTATAGTCTCCAAGATATAGACGATTATACGAATGAAAAATCGGGAAACCCCCCATAAGGGGAAAGTGGGGAGGAAAATCAAAAAAAAAATAAAACAAACTCGTATAGCGTACACACATAACGCATCTGTGTGCAAAGTTTGGTGTCTCTACCTCTTATAGACTCTGAGATCCAGGTGTTCATACGGACGGACGGACAGACAGACAGGGCTAGATCAACTCGTATCGTCATGCTGATCAAGAATATATACACTTTGTGGGGTCTGCCACGCCTCCTTCTGCCTGTTACATTTTCAGCTCCCGCAAACCTAATATACTCTTGTACATTTCATATTCATATAATTAGTTGTAATATTAGAGTAGAGTGCTGGCGCCTTGAGCTGAGGCCTTCGCCACTACTTACATTCCTTGGATATGTACTATATGTAATGATAGGGATCGATTGATGGTCTCGTGGCGCCAATTATGTATGTGTGTATGTCACTTGCTCGTATAATAACAACAACGTAAGGTGAAGAGCCATTAGGCTTAGAAGCGCTCTAAGTTGTTTTGAAATGCACGTACAGAGTGCTAGAGTGATCTCTGACTATCTTAGTTGATCTCTGATTGCATATCAGTACTGAGGTCATAAGCGTACTTCTAAGACCAGCAACCAGCAGTTAAAGCAAAAACAAACAAAAAAGAACGCATACCTATTTGAATTGATTTCTTGGCGCGTCAAGCCGCGACCTGCCCCACGGCGACAGCGCGAGATTTGTATAGGTGTTGTCTTTATGTGTCAGTCGTAGTCATTGGTGGGGCATGGTGTGCTTTTGTTTTTTAACCGTGACTGTGGCTGTGAATTGGACGTATATTGTGGGACAACTTGTGCGCAGCTGCGGCGCGGGTGTGGGACAGTGTTGTTACCAATTTTTTTTTTAGTTAACTTGTTTTTTACGCCGTTAAAAGGTGAAGGGCACATATACTCGTATGCGCAGACGCTATAGTGGACGCAGTCGCTACCGCTGCTAATTAGCCAGCACCTTCGCGGCTCTCACCCTATCCGTCCGTCGCCGTCGCCGTTGCGGCGCCGCAGATCGCCCTCACCGTCACTGTCATAAGAGAGCAGTGGCTTTATGGCTATACTTGATGTCCCAAAAATTTGACTGTACTGAGGGTTGCATCCATCGTTCTGTTAAGCTTCCGATATGTGTGGCAAATGTAAATGGCTAGTCTCAACCCGGCTCATGCCTAAATATGACTGTCGCTAATTTACATACATATGTATATCACAAACACAAGCTCATATACACGTACATATGTATGTACATGTATGTATGTTAGAATGGTAACATTGGTGCTTTGGTTGGCAAAGGCGTCCGTGTCCGCGAATTAGGAGAGAAACAGCAATTGAAGGTTCTAGACAGTGCTGCCAACTTTTAAAGGGAATTAAAGCTCTTTTTGGCGGGAAGGAGAGTAAAATAAAAAAAATGAAAATAGAAAAAGAAAAATACTTTTTTCTTATAAGGTGCGCTACAAACATCCGTAAACAGCAAATAAATAATCGCAAAAGCCACCAAAAAGAAAACAATTTCAGCAGGAAACGGCTTAACATGTGTAATTAGAATATGCCAATGCCAATTTTAAATAAAGCTGCTTGAACATTTTTCCCTTTTCAATAAGATTAATCTGTTAATGATAAATATTCAACATTTGGAGTAACTTTTGAAAATGTTAGGACCTTAAAAACAGTGGAAATTTAAACAAATAATTTTTTGTTTGCATTTATCGAAATCTAGGAACGTAACTCCGGCGCAATAGTCCAATCACAGGATTTGTGTGGAGTAGGTCCGAACACCTGCTGTTCGACGAAATCTTAACGCAATTGCAGCAACACCACAATTTATTTTCTAATTTAAAAATTTAATATTCACAACAAGTAGTTTTTTAATGGACACATTTGTTAAAATTAGTTTTGAATACTAACAAGGACATATACAAATTTTTCTGAAAAATAGTCTCTTGCTGGCTTCAAAAAAACAACACAGAAATATTTATGTTAATTGCTAGAACAACAAATTCATAAAAAACAAATCATTTTAAGCTTCTGTAACATATGCTCTACAAGTATACATATTTTTAAAATCATATAAATTTTCAGTAAATTGGATTTTAAACGCGTTTTGGCCAAAACAGCCGCTGCACGACGACGAGGCATTACCTTGGATATGACAGCCCAGGCCGAAGTCAGTGTTAGTCGCACCTTTGCTGGTCCCAGGCCGCAGATAATCAATGATGACATTCTACAATTGTACCCGGCACAGCGGTTGAAGCCGTCCATTATAAGTAATTATTATAATCTGGTTGGAGCTACATACATATCTCGGCCAAACTGATTCTGTCAGCAAATTGCAGACTGCCGCTTAAGCCAGTAGATCTGATTATTAGTTTTTTGCTCTCTTTCCTAAACTTTGAAGTTTGATTTATTTATTTATTTTGCAAAAGCATTTAAATATTGTTACTTATATTGTTGCTTATACATAAACAAAGTAATACCTTAACAAATAAATTTAAATTTCAAAATTAACAACAAAATTAGCGAACGATACAGTCGAGCAAACCCGACAGTGGAATACTCTGTACCCAAACAAGCTTCCGTCACCTAGCAGAAGCAAAAAGATGAAGAAGAGGTAACTTGATCCTGCAGCTTGTGGGCATAGTACTAGAGTGACGTAATTACACGTATA